TATTTAAACACTCTTGGGTAGGATAAGATTTGTGGGAAAACAAAGTAATTGTGATAAAAATGAGTTTGGATAGTTATTATTATAATCACTTTTTTATGTGTTGGCAAAAAAAAAAAATCACCTTTTATGTGCGGATTATTAAAACATTTGTGAATAATAAATAACATATACATGTGCAAAACTAATTTATTATTTATATAATTAATTAGTAATTAATATGTATACATATGTTGATAAATTTATGGCTTTTCAACTAAAAGTAGAGCTGGGAAATGGGCCTGGTGGTTGGGTTTAGAATTTTCCCTTTCAAATGGAAAACAGGTTTAAAAGAATCGGTCCTGTAGGGTTGAGGGCTTAACAAGTCTAGCCCTACACGATTGAGGGTTAGCCTGTTTAGGCCCTTTTTATTTTATTTTATTTTTTAATTTTTTTGTGTAATTCTAATATTATTAATTTTTTTATATTGTTAATGATATTTCAAATATTTAGTTATTATTATCATTTTGAAATTAAATTTCACAAAATTGTTTGATTTATTTGGTTTTAGACAATAATTTGTCCGGTTAATTTTAAAAAATGAATTAATTTAGATTTTAATAATGATTTGATTTATACTATATGTGTTGATATTTTTAAACTATATATATATATCTGATAAGAGAGTATTTTTATACTTATATAACTTGTGATTCTATAATTTGAATTAAAAATTTATGAGTTTCAACAACAATGCTTTTCAAACTCAAGAAAAATAATCGCCAGAGTACAAAATTTAAAACTAAATTCCCATAAGAAGAAAAAAACTTGATATTTTTATTACGAAAGAAGAACATAATCACTAAGAAGAGCAATTGATTATAGTGACAGTGAAGTTTCAAAAATTAATAATAGTGTTTGTCTATTACACATTTGTAGTATTGATAAAACTTTTGGATGTTGTTGTCTATTTGATGGATGTTTTAGATATTCTTAGCTGTTAATAGATATTTAGATATGACGATATTTTGTATCTGTGACTTAATTTTATTCATATTTGTATATTTTATTAATAACTTTATTGGTTTGTTTTAATCATTCGATAAAAAATAAAAAAAGAGAAATATGAAAAATAGTTTTTTTTTTTCCTAAACAGGTCGAAAGCCGCTGGCCGGTCTAGAACCCGTTAGCTTAAAGGCCGAATCTAACAAATTGGGTATTTTTGAAACTTAAACCCTGTAGGATCAGTTCTTTTAAGCTCGTAACCCTGCAGAGCCATACCCATTTCCCACATCTACCCAAAAGGTAGAAAAAATTAGCTTCATAAAAAATCATGGTCAGATTTTTTTTCAAAACCATGATTTGAGAAAGCATCCAACGCTGTTAATTATTCATAAAATTCATGAAAATTTTCTAATATTTTTTTGCCAATAAAATAACAACTTTTTGTGAATTGGATTTTCCAAATGTTGAAGCTGGGGCCTAATAAACTAACTTATTATGTGTGTTGGACATTATTGTCTGTGGAATGCAAGGAATTCTAAACTACATAATCATGGTTCTTTGCTTCTTTTGATCCAATCCAGGTTATTAATACTACCATTAAATGCATTAGGTTAATGAAACAGTTTAATGCCCTCCCGCTATCAAGACTCCCCAGAGTCCAGATCTCCAAATCTCTACAGATAAATCCCCATATTAACAATGGAGAACAAGAATGGCTTATTAGTATCTTCAAGGTCAGGAGGAAAAAGTTAAATAATGAACAGTTTTCTAATGCTTTTGCCGTTGTGTTTTTTCAGGGACCAGTTAAAGATCTCAAGAAAGAGGAGAGTTAGTAAATGGTTCATTCTGCTGTCATTGCTTCGGAGCAGCTTTTGATTCATAAAACAACAACGCGTGATTACTTCCCCAACAAATTTTGGCATCAAAGTACAATGTCAGGATCACAAGTTTGCCGACTATGGTGGAGTCATAGGACTAGCTCGGGATATTTTGACAGTTAAGAGGGATCGTAGTTAACCTTTGAACAGTTTAGATCTTTTCATGTATATTGACTTGTATGTAATGCTTTATTGAGGGGGAAAAAATTGAAGGGGGTGTTTGGGAAACCCAAAACCATAGTTTCAGAAGCATTTTCCACAAAACGAGGTAATCTCCTCCACATATTTACTTCGTAATCCGTAAAAGCACTTCTGAAACCATGGTTTGGTTTCTATCCAAACACTCCAGAAATGTGCATTCCAATGCTGGAACATGACTACCTTTGCTAAATTTGCATGACAAATAAAATAGGGTTAATATAATTTTTAGTTTTTTCTTTTATTTTGATTTTGGTCCTTCAAATAAAATTTCTAATATCTAAATTGCGTTGATTTTTTTTTATAAGATCTTACTGTAGTTGTCTAAACATTTAACTTTGTTATCATTTTTGTTCCTAATTAATTTTATATATTGCATTAATTAAAACGTTTATTATATTTTCTTTCATCTTTTCTCCCTCTTACTTGTCTTTTATAAACAATGACATACATAAAAAAAATATTTCTTATATATTTTATTTCTTATATAGTTATTAATCTCTAATAAAAAGAAAAACAAGAGAGTATAAAAATACTACTAGTATTTAATTAGAATACAATATTTTTTTCTTTTAAAAAACACATATATACTTTATTTATAATTCTGTATCGTCCTTTCCCCTTCGTGATTAATTGGGGGATACGAAGAACCTGCTTAACCCATTTCAGAGTGCAGATTCAGACAAGGCCTTAATGGTTACATACATTTGAATGTGCTAGGGATCCGAGTTCTGCCACTTTGCATCATCACTGGAAATTCATGAGGCCCTCACAGACGACACATGGGTCCATTCGCTCCTTCCGTCCAAATCTTCTCCACATGCATTACCAGAGGACTCTGAATTTACCCCTTTCTTTTCTGGGTTTTAATCCCCCATTTCTCTATTTACTGTATTATATGCTTCTTTCTATCCTTCTAATTTGGCTGACTTCGAAACGGATTGTTGGGATCCAACTTACTTATTTCTGGTTCTTAATATAAGACCTAATTGTTGAGTTGATTTTGGTTCTAAATATAAGACATATTTTTCATATTTATTAATTTTTCCTAAATTACTCTTATGGATACTCCCTCAATCATAATTAAGAAGAAGAGGAAGAGAGGATATTAAGGAAAGATGATTATGGTATTTTAGAAAAAGCATATTATATTTCTTATAATTAACTAACTTGCTTAACTTCCTTAATCTAATTAAATTAGTTAATAGGTTTTATATTAAGGACCGTTGGAGTATTATCTTTTTTTTTTATTTTGAGAAAAATAAGAAAGCATATAGTATTAACATTGCTTCTTATTTGATGATTAAGCTACAATTTAATGGGTCCGTTTGGATTAGTGGTAGAAAAAGTAACTCATTTTTAATCTGACTTTTAAAAAAATAAAATTTGGTAAAAGTTATATTGGGTAATGTGATCTGTGTTTAGATTAACTTTTATAAAAACTAGTTTATAAAGTAAAAAAGTTAGTTGGATTATGATTAAATAAGTAAGTTTAGTTTATAGAATGACCAAAATGGGAATGACGTTTATTAAATATAATAATTTTAAATTATTATAATAGGAAAAAGTTATATTTAATGAATAAAATATATTTAAATTAGAAATCATGGGAATGTGAAAAACTTTGAACCAAATAACATTACATAATTAATTGGATAATATACTATGCATAATTTATGTAAATATAAGATGAAAAATAATATTAACAATTAAAAATATTATAAAAACTGTTAAAAATTATTTTCACTTAAGATAGTATTAAAATTAAATAACTAAAAATTTATTGGGAAGCACAAAAAATATATAGAGAGAAGTATAAGAACAACATAAATATAAGTTTGAAATATTTTGCAATAAAAGTTATATTTAATGAATAAAATATATTTAAATTAGATTAAATTAGAAATCATAGTAACGTGAAAAACTTTGAACCAAATAACATTACATAATTAATTGGATAACATACTATGCATAATTTATGTAAATATAAGATGAAAAATAATATTAACAATTAAAAATATTATAAAAATTGTTAAAAATTATTTTCACTTAAGATAGTATTAAAATTAAATAACTAAAAATTTATTGAAAAGCACAAAAAATATATAAAGAGAAGTATAACAACAACATAAATATAAGTTTTAAATATTTTTGCAATACCAATATAAGCTACTTTTATCCTTTCAAAACCTTTTACAAAACAGGCTGAATGTTTGTTGTTTTGTTGTTTTTGTTTCTGCAGTTTGCATCTGGTGATTATGCAAACAAGCCTTATAATTGGGAGTCGTCTTCTGCAAGATTGGGAGATTCTTCTTCTACGAGAAACAATCGGTCAAAGAGTTGGGATTGCCAAGCGAAAAATCTGTTACTTTTTCAATTTTTAATGCATTTGCAGGATATCTGTCGACTACTACTAAAACAGAACTCTGCTTTCTCAAACCTAAGGTCTAAAGTCCCTTGTTAGGGTTTAAAGTTGCTATTGAAATCCATCCAAAAAAAATAAAGACTGCTGCTACTCTGATAACCTTTGTCTCTTGTAGTGATGAACATTCCACAGCACCCTTATCGGCAAACAGTTTCCGAAGAAATGGCTTGCTCCATCAATAACATTGATCAATCAAGAGCTAAAAACTTGCTTATAAACTGTTTGAACTATTGTTAATGGAAAACATTATTAGTTGATCGGTTTATGGTTGGACGCCAACCTTATTAGCTATAGCCTATGGGCACCGTTTGGGGGCAGAGGGGCCCGCTTGTAAAATTGAAAAAAGTATCTGTTAGGTTTGAAATTTATTGAGAAAGACGAAACGTGGGGTTAGACCATTTGACTCTGGAAAGATACTGTCTTTCTCTCACTCATTTTTTTAAGCTTATTTCTTGAGACCAGGAAGGAGAAAGAGGCATCTTCATTATTTCACTCGCACCCTTATAAAGTCCGACCCCAGACCAGATTCTACTCAATCTAGACACTGTTGTCTTTCTTCTTTTTATTCACTTTTGGGTTTTCTAAGTCTCACCTTTTGAAGGTTCATTCTGTTTTAATAATAAGCTCTGCGCAAGTGATTCTAGCTCCAAGCCCTTAAAAGTTTCAGTAGATGAGTGCCTCAAAGTTCATTAAATGTGTAACTGTTGGAGATGGTGCTGTTGGGAAGACCTGCATGCTCATCTGCTATACCAGCAATAAGTTCCCCACTGTATGTCCCTTCAAAAATCTTTTCTTTTCGGTGCATTTAATTGTCTCCTTCCATGTTAAGGATCTTGCTCCAGTCCATCTAGATGGTGTACGGAAAAAAGATTAAAAATTGAGCTTTCGTTGTGAGTAATACCTGGATTTATCACTCATAACTCTGTCGGCTCTAGGGCATATTATACGTTCCCTGCAGATATATTTTGCGATTGAAGACAAGTATGCTTCTTATTCACTCCTTTTCTTTTCTTTGGCTTTTTTTTTTTTTTTGGTGGGGGGGGGGGTTTGGGTGTGGCAGGATTATATACCTACAGTATTTGATAACTTTAGTGCCAATGTAGCTGTGGATGGGAGCATTGTGAATTTAGGACTCTGGGACACGGCAGGTACAATGTTTGCTTCCAAGCACTAAGGAGCAAGATGCTCCTCTGCATTTTTAACCTTCATTATGGTCCGGGAAAATGGTTTGGTTATTCCTCTCTAATATTATTATTCTCATTACAGGCCAGGAAGATTACAGCAGATTGAGGCCACTTAGTTACAGAGGTGCAGACATATTTGTCTTAGCTTTCTCCTTGATCAGCAGAGCCAGCTATGAAAATGTTCTTAAGAAGGTACAAGATTCCTTTTAATCTTTCCTCCTCTTTCTATTTTTAGACTTTTAGATTCAAGTTCTTAGAAGTTAGGCATTTTTCTATTTTTAACCGTCCATCATTGTCTTGTTCTTCACATAACTTTTACTTATTGGCAGCAAGTGACCGTTTTCATCATTAAGACGACCATTCATGCTAATCAAAGATTTTGTTTTCAACTTTTCATTTTTTCTTTTTTTTTTTCAATCTTTTCTTGTTTGTCTACTTTAGTGGATGCCAGAACTGCGTAGATTTGCACCAAATGTTCCCATTATTCTTGTTGGCACAAAGCTAGGTAAGTTGCAAGACATGTTAAATTTTGTAAGTTTGTTATGCTGAAGATGCTGCAGAGATCAATCCATTAATTATATTCTCTCAGATGTTCGAGGAGATCGCGGATATTTAGCCGAACATTTGGGTTCTAATGTTATAACGTCAGCTGAGGTTTCTATTCTTTACATCAACTCTGCTTTGCAGATAAGTATTTTGTATTGTGGATAACCGAAATGAGCTCATTTATGAATCATGAGCAGGGTGAAGATCTAAGGAAACAAATAGGTGCTGCAGCTTATATAGAATGCAGTTCTAAGACGCAGCAGGTAATGCTCATGAATTTGGCCTGAAAACACTAACACATTCTCTTAGGAGGCAGAGACTTGATAATGATGTCTTTTTCGTTGTTTAGAATGTCAAGGCAGTTTTTGATACTGCAATTAAGGTTGTTCTGCAGCCTCCTAGGAGGAAGGAAATGACAAGGAAGGAAAGGCACAGAAGGTCTGGTTGCTCATTTGTGTAAGCACCTGACTCTGACTATTTCGCTGGGAAAATATACCATCTAATCTATAATCCCTTTTGATTGACAAATATGTTTGTGGATGACAGAGGCATTGTGTGCGGAGGCTGTGCTGCTTAATATGGATGTTGTTCAAATGCTTCAAGTGTGGAGTTCTGACATCTGATTTCCATACCTTTTTTTTTCTGTGCTTTGTATTGTAATTGATGTAAGTCAGTATATCACTTGAAAGACCCGTTAGAGAATAGATCGGAGGGAACTTTTCATTCCCTCTTAGTGGCTGTTACTACTTCATGTTATGATGTTTGTATATTTTAAATTGGAAGCAATGAAACCACTTCTGCATTTCCAGTGCTGTAGGAAGTTTGTCTTTTTGTTGACAGATCCAGATCCTCCTTATCCGTCATTCCTTGAAATTGGCATCATCAATATCATCAGCATCATTATGATCAATCAATATATACATAAAATTTGTAGGAAGTTGCATTGGTGACAAGTCATTAACAGTGCTTCAAGTTCTATGGGCACTCTAATTACGAAGTTGAAGCCATGCAACTTGCATTACGGACTTCATCATCAATCAATCAATCGATATGTTTATAAAAATTGCATGAAGTTATACTATTTACAAGCCGTGAACAGTGCAATTTATCTTAGACTCCCTGTAAATTTGTATGGCCCACTCACTGTAGTTATAAAGAAAAAGTCATTGAAGTTGCATCATGAACTTAGGGGGTGGTTGGCAAAATCAAAACCACGGTTTCAGAAGCACTTTTCCGTAAAACGAGATAATCTCCTCCACATGTTTACTTCGTAATCCGTAAAAGCACTTCTGAAACCATGGTTTGGTTTCTATCTAAACACCCCCTAAAAAGCAAGAACATGTCACGTGGGTTTCATAAATATGTTGCAGGAGTACTGGAGATGGACGAACCGAGTTAATAAAAAGGGTTAGAGGGGTGATATAAATGCTATTGGATCTGTTTCTGCTTGTAGAAGAAGCCTATTTGATGATTGTGAGGCAGACAAACAAGGCAGGTGAGTCCTTGGGGCAAGTTTCTGCAGTACTTCCTGTTGTGTCCTTTTGTTGCAGTTGGCTTCATTGAATTGTGTCCTATGTGCCTTCATTGTTTTGCAGGACCTACACATCGTCTATGCCAAGACAATAATTCCAGAGAAAACATCCATTTTCAAAATGAGAACATGCTGCCTTTTTTTCGTTTGACCAAAAGAGAAAATCCTGCTTATACCATTACCATGAAACCAAGCAATTGGGCCCAGACCATTTTCCTTAATCAGCTTCGCATACAGAGAATTTCAGAGTTTGCTTGAAACCGACTTCGTTTTTTGAAGGCACAATCTTCATACCCAGGTTTTTTTTGTTTGGGGTACAAATCTTCATACCCAAGTTGACAAGGAGAAGTTATTAGACCTCCCGCTAGCCCACCATAAATGGTAGGCTTTTGCCAACCCGTCAAAGTGCGAGCTACGTGTAACACTACTAGCAGGTTAGTGGGGTTAGCCCTTTTTTTATTTAAAAAAAAAATTCAATCTTCATACATGGTCTCATCTAAATACACATTATCTAGTATCTAGTCCAAGTCTAACTTTAACATTTCAGATTTTAAAGCCCAACTCTCGTTCCTATGCCAATAATAATATAAAATAATAAAATTGTAATCGTAAAATTTAAAAAACTAAAAACTAAAATTTTAATAATAAGAGAGAGAATTAATGCACATCTTCTTCTCAACATGTTATTTTTATTTAATGCCATAGGTTTAGTTTACACTCTGACTTTATCCTCAAAGCATTATGATAAGATACATGTATGTAAGATTTTTCTCCCAGTAACACGGGTTAATCTTGTACCTTTCCTGTTGCACCCATATTAGTGCACTAATATGTACAATTAGCATTGACATAAAAAACTCAATACTGCATCGAATAAAAAAAAATAACACTACAGCCGGTACTATTTATAGCATTTATTTAGATAATTCACATGAATTGAAGAAATATTTAAAAAATTTTCTATTTAAATGACAAACTTATATTCAATAATAAATTTAATTATTGTTGAACAATTATTAACTTGTGCTTAGAAATCAAGTTTGATCCTCTTAGCTCCTTGGTCCTTGCTTCAATTATGTAACAACAAAATTTTCTCAGAAAAAAAGCACGCTGGCAGGTGCGGGCTAGTATTTTGCGAGCCGCTTTTAGCCTGCATCATGACAGGCAGGCCTGTATCCCGCACTGTCAAGCACTTTATCATCTTTAGAAATTATCCTCTACACAGTTAGGATCATCATTTAATCTAAGCTGCCACAAGCTGAAACCGAAAAGCATTTTCTTCTAATATAGGATTAATTTTTTAAATATTTAATATTTGCTCTTATATGTATTAGAAGGCAACAACTTCTATGCATTCTTGATCATTTTTGCAAGGGCCTTGTTTTTTTAGTATTTTTATAATTTGTTTGATACTCCGATTTTATTTATAAGATAGAGAGAAAATATTTTTGTTTGTTTTATTTATAGGTCATTTTATTAAATTTTTAGCATGAATATACTATTTTGTGTTCTATTGTTATAGAGTAAATAAGTATTTTTTTAAAGGTATATGTACTACTTTCGTCCTCGATATAAGAGATAGTTCGACCTTTATTTTAATCATAAATATAAGACACTAACTTATTTTGTCTCTCATATTTATTTATTTTTTTCTCAATATAGTTCTTATAATAATGATAATTCTAGTTAATATACTTGATTAATAAGGATATTTTAAGAAAGATAATATCTGTTTATTATAAATAACTAATTTAACTAGTTTTTTAATCTAATCAAATTAGTTAACCAACTCTTATATTAAAGACCGGAGTTAATATTAAATAGAAATAGAGTTGAAAAGTTATTATATTTTAATAGAAAGTTAATATAATTTAAATAAAATTAGTGAGAAAACTTATTATAAGGCGCCATCGAATTGATTTCTCCAACAATAACCAATAATAAATCCATTGAAATATCAGGACTTCATTTTACAACCATCACCGTATATTTTCTAACTTGTGCGTTTCACTCGTATGTATATGAACTCATCTTTATACATAGGTTGAGAATCAAAAGGCAGTCATTTTTTTTTTTACCAGAGACTGAAGGGAAAACCACCTAACGCGGGTGGTACCCAAACAACTCGAATGTCCTACTTATACACACTAACACACTCACACACCCATATGATGTGGGGCTTGAGAGCACCCACAAGAAAGGCAGTCATTACTAGATCCAAATATCATTTAGGATTGTACTTATTGGCCAAAAAAGGAAAACGAGAAGGAGATTGTACTACACTTTTTTAAGGAGGCACTAGAATTATACTTCATCCAAAATAGAGATTAATTACTCATACCAATGGTAACATAAAAAATAGAGGTGTGCATAATAAAATTGATGTGAAAATATTATAAACTAAATTTTATTTTTACTAATTTATTATTCGTTGAAAAAACATTTTTTTGAATATATAGATTATATATATTTATTACTTTTGAATTATATATATTTTATAAACATTTTATTTTCATCAACAACATATCTTAAAAGTGTATGTGAGAATTCATTTTTTTAGGTTAATATTATTGTTTGATTGAATTTTGGTTCAAATCACAGATTTTCATTCCAATGATTTTTTCATCCGAAATGTCAATTTCTATAATTTTATAAGAATTTAGACGTAATTTTAATAGTGTTACTACCATTAACATCGCTAATTATATGGATTAAAATTAAACTTGTTAAAATATAAATAAAAAAAGTAACTTAAATGTGTGATGGAGGACAAAGAATAGATTTTGACTTAAAATCAATTTTGAGTGAAAAAAGTCGATCTTAAAAAATGTTGATATTAATTTTTAAAATAATAATAGTTATAAAAATATCATTTAATATTTTATAAAAAAATATTAGAATTAGAAAGCTAAAAATATTTTTTTTCAAACTAGGAAAACAAACTCCGGTAAAATAAAGTCAAAAGATCAAACAAAAATGATAAACTGTACCTTTTTTAAAAAAATTTCTTTACTTTCAATTTTTAATTTTTAATTAAGTTAATATAATTTTTAGTCTTTTAAATTTATTCTTATTTTAGTTTTAATCTATCAAGTTTTTTTATTTAAAATATTAATTACTATAATTTAATAAAAACCTGAACTATTTTACTATTTAAAGGTAAAACTTATTGTTTAAAATTTAAAAGATTAAAACTAAAATGAGAATAAATTTAATAGACTAGAAATTATATTAAATTTTTTTTTAATTTTATGGAATATATATGGACATAACAGGTATGTCCGTTCCTGTAATTTCATTTTTGCGTGCGGAAAAGAAAACTAGAAAAGGGCATTCTCGGTCTAGGGTTTATAAGCACCTTCGCTTCCCTTCGACAAAATATCGGACCTTGCAGGGTTCGGTTCCATAGTAGAACGTTGAGAAGGATGGCTTCCAGAGACAAGGACCCATCGGCACCGCACCATCATCAGCCTCTCTTAAGCAGTCTCGTTATCCGGCCCTCCAACAGCGATGGCGGTGCTGGCGCCGGAGGAGGCAGTGGAGGCCGTGGTGGTGATTACGAGTCCGGCGAGGTTCACCGCGATCCCCGTCCTCCGTATTCCCGATCCGATCGATACGCTGATGACCCTGGTTTGTTTATCTTCCTTGTTCTTTTGCCGGATATCCTGATTATACGAGTAATTGCATTCGGTTTCGTAATCTTTATGAGGAAACTGGTTGACTTTGCTTTTTATAGTTGGTTGCGAAAGGAATGGTTTGTTCCCACCTTCTAAATTCTGGAAGATTTTTTTTTTTGGTAGTTTTGGAAAATTTTCGGTGGTGGTTAGTAAGCACTTGTTAAACCGAGTAATACAGTTTCTAGAGTCCTAATATGATTGAACTTGTGGCTTCTGGCGGTGGTGATGACACAATTTTGGGAATTCCAATGTTCTTGAAGTTGAATAAGATTTTCCACTCCCAGGGCTGGCCGGGGTTTTGTATCTGGTGTTTGTATTTGACCTGAGAGTGAAATAGGAAGAATTAGGTTATAAATGTCTTGCTCTCCTCATATGATAATCCCCTATTTATTTCTTTAGAGGCAAATATTCTTCGCAAAGCAAGCTGTAGTAATCTACCGTGTTATTTTGGTGTTATTTGAACCCAGCCCTTGAAGCTTGAATTTACCCAAGGTAGACAAAGGCAAAAGCTGCCTTTAAGGGACTAGATTCCTAAAACGCTTAGGTTTGAAGCATTAAAAAAGCACACACCCGAGTGTACAGCACGTGTTACAGTTAGAAAGAAACATTGCATAAACTAAAACTAAATAAAGATCTGAAATAACATCTATATATGATCGCTATTGATGGGCCATGAATATATATACGTGTAAAGATTTGGAATTGGAATAACATATGGATATTTATATATAATATAAAAGTTCTAACAAGTCATACCATCCATGAGCCATGAGCAATATGACACGATGACTCATTTGTCAAATTTTCTGTAATGCACAAACCCACACTAGTTTATCATCTAGATTTTTTTTTTCTGTGCACTGCATGTGGATATTAAAATTATTTTCAAAGAGATTTAGTGTCTGTGTATTTTAAAAAAATTAATGCATAGTAATGGAATATCAATAGATGATCTGATCTTATATTGATGTCATATTAATGAATAATAATTGATAATTTTGATTTTATATAGCATGTTGATTACTCTTACATAATTACAAGTAAATAAGCTTATTAAGTCGTTAATATCTCTAGTATAACGTTGTGTATTAATTCATAACTCATAATGATATCAATTGCACTTGTAAAATCATAATATAAGCTGCATGTCAGAGTATGAAGTTAACTAGAAAAACTTTGCAATTAAAAAAAGTAAGTGTCTTTGATTCCTTTAGGATGGTTATTGAAAAATCAACATGGGCAGTTGCCACGGAGTTCTTATTTGTTTCTCCTTTTACTAAATGTAATACTAAATTCACACATTAGTGTGATTATTGATCACACCAACACATCACTAATACAATGTTCAGCTGCAGATTCTTGTTTGACTTTCCCCCACACTCAGTGCTATCTTTACAGAGATGGGTTTTGCTGGACCTATCATCTTCCTTTTGTGCATGCAAAGCATATGGATCTCTTAGCGATTATAGAGTGTAAATCAGTATATAAATTTTGCATTTGTGTGTTACAGCTCTGATGTTGCGTGCAAGAACTTGGGCCTTGAGGAAGGCATGTTGCAATGAATGCAGCCTTGGATCATGACCTGGGAATTTTTCTATTAAGAGTTATTGAGTGTTTTGGATGTGTACTCCTTTCTGCATGATTTTTTTTGGGGTTCTGCAGCACAAATTTTGTTGCCTCAGGTTTCATGTTGCTGATTCGTGGTCATTTGTTTAGTTTGGGTATTTGCGGAGCTAAACGCAGTGTGAAGTTAAACTGAATCTGAGATTGAAGTTATTGCCAAACACGAACTGTGATACAACACGGACAATGAAGTAGGACATCAAGGTGGTCATGGGAATTTTAGAGGACCATAACTGGCCATTGCAAATGGTTTTAGTGAATCACCTTAAGTTATAATTGGTGGTTGGCTGGAATAGCTAGGGTTTACAGCGAGAAGTTCTCATGGTTGTGTACATGGCTGCTTTGGTGAAAGCTGACCTTGACATCATGGAAAAATGATGATACTACACAGAATTTCTTAGTGTCACTGGTTATGCCTGGTTGTTCTGTTCTGTTATTGAACTCTTGATAATTGCAGTACTGGATACACATTCTATGGGAATTTTCTTTTGGAATTATCTTTGCATTGATTGTTTAATGGCTGGTGGTTGTCATTTTACTTTTTTTGGGGGGATTTTTTTTGATTTTTGGGTTGGTTAATTAGGGGTCAATCAGATGGTTATATATCTTCAAATTAGAAGGCCCCTTTCAGAGTATTTGTTTCACCAGTTTGGGACCTTGCACTTCTGCTATTATGTGATTGGGTGACTACTGCTGAGTTCTATATATTTTCCATACCAAGGCTTTGACTGGGAACGATGCTGTAACAGAAAAGGGTTGGATATATCCAAAAATTTGGGATGATGTTACTACAAGCCCAATTTCGTCTCTATTCTTGAGGTTCATTGGGGGTGGAGTGACAAAAACATCAGTGAACTGGTTATTGCCTTGCTGACATTGCACTACCTGGCTTAAATGAATTTTTCTGTGGCAAGGTTTACTGTAAAATTGCACTTTGTTTCATGAATCTGAATTTTGGGTGTCACATCAGAGGTAGATTTAAACGATTCTAAAACATGGTGCATGATCAAGTTAAACACTGGGATTGTGTGCGCTCCAGTGGTGGTTATTTCCTTGTGGGATATATGATGGTGGATTAGCATCTTTTAGGCATGTAGCTCATACTTTTATGATCCGGTGTGGACATAGTGCCATGGTTGTTGCTCCTAAATTTGAAATTTAAATCCTTAGGTTAATTATTTTTTGTATTTAAGTATATTGTGGTCTATGCAATAAATGGATGTAGCCCTCCGAGGTAGCAAGATATGGGTGGACTTGTATCATGGGAATGGGTGAGGTAGTTTAAGTTGAACGAAGGACCTAGCTTGTGCATGGCATGCATCAACTCTGTTGGTTTAATGGATGATGTGTTTTGGAAGTGGCAGTGAAAGCATCATATGCAAACCTCCTGCACTCTTCATACTTTCAATTTAGATATGCAAGAGGAAAAAGAAGCCTGGTTGGCGGTAACCTATGAAATGTTACATCGGTCATTGGGCTGTTGCCTGATCACAAAATTTTGGCTGCTAAAGTATATTGCAATATTAAGTTTTCTTTCATTGTATATGAACAGCTCAAAAGTTTATTGTCTTTGCTTTCCCAGGATATAGGATCCGTGCAGGTTCTCTCTCTCCTGTTCATCGTAGGGATGCAGATCATCGCTATGGTTCTGATTATAATCATATGTCTCGTAGTCGTGGATATGCTGGGGGAAGAGACCCTGGTAGATATAGAGACCCTTCACCCCCATATGGCCGAGGAAGACCTGGTGGCAGGCCAATGGGTAGAGCTTTTGATGGATCTGGCTATGGTGCTGGGCCAGTCAGAGGGGAAGGCATTGGTAGAAACAATCCTAATGTGCGTCCCAGGGAGGGAGACTGGTTCTGTCCTGATCCTCTGTAAGTTCTCTTCTTTCGTGTTGTTTTGAGGCCTTTTATTTGTCTATCTTGTTTTTGATCTAAAGGTTTTGTTTGTTTATGCATTTAGGGTTAATACAAACTTTGGTCTTTCAAATTTACCGTCATTTTGATTTTGGTCTCTTAAGTTTCAAATCATAGGTTTTGTTCTCTCAACTTTCTTTTCATTTAAAATATTGATCCCTATAATCTAATAAAAACTTGGATCATTTTGCCCATTAAGGGACCAAAACCTGTGGTTTGAAACTTGAGGGACTAATACCAAAATTAGGACAAACTCAAGGGACCAAAGCTTAGATTAACCCATGCATTTAAAATTAGATAACAGTTGTGATGTTGACTGAATTATCAGCAAGAAAAGGTTTGTCCGTTTTGGCTATGATTGTGCTTTTGCAGATTTAATGATGTCAAGTATTATGTGTAGATTTGTTTAAGTTAGCCTAACATCTTAATTTGTATGAGCTGTGGGTTGCATAACTGTCCTATCTAGAAATAGCTGGGTGATTATCTATTCCAGTGTAGTGGGTAGTATGCATGTGATGCTTACGAGACGCTCTATAATATGGGATCTCTGACTTTATTTTATTACAGTATATTTCCTTTATGTCTTATCTTCACAATTTTCCAGATGTGGCAATCTTAACTTTGCAAGGCGGGACTACTGTAATAACTGTAATAGGTATCGTCATGCACCTGTTGAAAGTCCACGTAGGGGTTATCCTGGTCCGCCACCACCGCTTCATGCTCCTCCTAGACGGTTCCCTGGACTTCCTGTGGACCGCTCCCCAGAAAGGACCCTAAATGGTTATAGGTCTCCTCCTCATGGCTTGGGAAGGGACGGGCCTAGAGATTATGGATCTGCTGCTATGGCTCCCCTCAGGAATGAAGGCAGGTTTCCAGATGGTATGCGGAGAGAGCGGATGGATTATATTGATGATGCCTATAGGAGAAACAAATTTGATAGGCCACCGCCAGTTGACTGGGATCACAGGGATCGTGGCAGAGAAGGTTTCACCAATGAAAGGAGAAGATTTGACAGGAGGCCACTATCACCCCCTGCACCTCTGTTACCGACACTTCCTCCTCAGCGTGGTCGGTGGGCACGTGATGTGAGACAAAGGAGCCGCTCTCCAATTAGGGGTGGTCCACCACCTAAAGAGATGTACATGGATCGTGTAAGAGATGATCGTAGAGGTGGACTGGATGATCGTCGGAGGGACAGAATTGGAGGAATGTATTAGCTAGGTTCTGTGATGTGTGATAAGAGATTTAGCTTCAATAGATGTGGATATCTATTAGAGGTTGATGGTTCCTTTTTATGGTCGCTCTGAGAAACAGTTTCAAAAGTAATCCTTTTTTTGGTTTGGCATTTTAACATTAAAATGTTTACGGTTTATGCTATGTCTGCTTGTTTTTCCTCCCAATGAATGCTCTCTTCAGGTTCGTGACTGCATATGAAATTTGGAAATGGAAATTCAACTTGCTGCTTGTGAAATTTGACTCCAAAATTTAGCCAGAAACGTGTGTGATTTGTGGCGGATATCTGGCCTCTGTTGGACTAGTCTTTTTGGACGCAAATAAACTGTCCTAAGAGAGCCAATTTTTTTTACCTGGGCATCCTGAATTGGAATTTCTACAGATTTTGAGGACAAAAAGTCGAGCTAAACTGCTTGAAAGCGAGTAGGATTGAGACCATGATTTGTCACAAGTATGGTGAACTTGGTGCTATTAGGTCACAAGGCCGTCAGATTTCTATGCATTTCATTTCAGTTCCGCTGAGGGATGTTGCGCATGCGTTGTCCAACACTCAACAAAGGGGATTATGTAGGAATGGGTTGTCCGTGTGGCCTGCAAGCTAGAGCCCCTGCCATTTGGTCTATTGATACTGTATGTAGGAATGGGTTGTCCGTAAAGACAGTTCTAAATCTACATGATCAGTCTATTGATAATGGGTTTTCTATTTTTTGGAGTCCTGAGCAAATGATCCTAGTTGAATTATTGATGATCATTCTCCGTTGTGCTTACTGATTTACTAGTCGATTCCATTTTTAATGGAATAAAAACTTTGTATTTACTGATTTACAAATAGAAATTTCAAGGTGACTTGTGAGTAGAGCCGGGAAAACAGGTCGAGCCTGTTTAGGTCCTGAAATTATGAGGGTCGGGTTTAAAATTTTCTCTCTTAAATGGGAAATAAGCCTTGAAGGGTTGAAGGCTTAAAAGGGTCGGTCTTAGAGGGCCGAGGGTTGAGGGTCAGCCCATTTAGGCTTTTTTATATTTTTTAAAAAAATTTTTATGTAATTTAATATTATTAATTTTTTACATGTTAATAATATTTCAAATATTTAGTTATTATTATCATTTTAAAATTAAATTTTACAAAATGATTTGATTTATTTAGTTTTAGACAATAATTTATCTAATTAAATTTTAAAAAAACGGGTTAATTTGGATTTTAATAATGATTTGATTTATATTACATGTGTTGATATTTTTAAACTATATATATATATATTTAATAATAGTGTTTTTATACTTGTATAACTTGTGATTCTATAATTTGAATTAGAAATTTATGAGTTTCAATAACAATGTTTCTCACATTAAAGTAAAATAATAATTAGATTGCAAAATTTAAAAGTAAAATTCCTATTAAAAAAACTTAATGTTTTTGTTACAAAAGAAAAGCATACTTATGAAGAAGAGTAGTTGATTATAGTGATAATAAAGTTTCAAAAGATTAATGATAATGTTTATTTATTACACAATTGCATGAGATAAAACTTTTAGATGTTGTTATCTTGTTAATGAATATTTTAGATGTTCTTGGATGTTGATAGATATTTATATATGATGATATTTTGTATTTGTGACTTAATGTTATTTATATTTGTATCCTTTATTAACAATTTCATTGGTTTATTTTTATTTTTTTGATAAAAAATATGAAAAATATAAATAAAAAAATAGTATTTTTTCCCCCTAAACGGGTCAAAAGCCCGCGGGCCGGTCCTGAGCTCGTTAGTTTAAAGGCCGAGACTAGTAAATTGGGGTATTTTTAAAGTTTCGGCCTTAGAGAGCCGGTCCTTTTAAGCACGGCAATCCTAGAGGGTTCCCACATCTACTTGTGAGCAAGGAAACTCCTATCAATGTGTGTGTGGGGTTATTCACAAATTGTGATGACGACACTTCGGCTCACTATTTCGAAAACAAGGATGTTTTTGTATATAAAGAAGCTTTTACTATTTGATGTCCATGGGCAGAGTGCGTACAAAACAAAACAAGTGCTTTTCCCGCAATTATATTTTGACCGAATAAATAGGAAATTACTTCATTGAAAAGATGATTATTGTTTCCGAAGAAACACTAATGGACTTTGTTACAAATTAATACCTCATGTCTTAATTATAAGACCTCGTTTGTAATATATAAGACCTTGCTTGTAGATTATGAGTGATCTTATAATTAGAATTGGAGGCAATATAATTAATTCTCCGTGTTGCATGGAGTTGGCTGTGTTGAATTAAGGGTTAATTCTTCACAATTGTGAACTTGGAATTTTTACTAAGAGAACTATTCATATTTAGTGTACGATAATATCTTAAATATAATTGCTTCCTGTAAGAAGATACATGTGTTGAGCAAAAAAAATCATTATTTGTAATGTGGTAATTAATATAGCTTGTTATAAATTATACATATAAGTGTTTTCCGTCGTTAATATAAAAATTAGGTCACTAATTTTTTGATATCAAGAAAATTAGTTAAATTAGTTATTTATTACAAATATGTGTTAATTTTTCTAAAATAAACTTTCTAAAATAGTGGGCATTGTAACTATCTCTTGATGAAAATTTTTCTTGTTATGTGCAATTAATAGGAATGCTTTTAAAAAAATTATAAATTTGGGAGAGCAAGTAGATAGACATCTTATATTTAAAATCAAATTAAATCTCTTATCTTTTTTTTTTTATCAGAATTAAATCCCTTATCTTACTCTTATATTTGGGAGATAGTAATATTTTGATGATGGGCTTAATGCAGATTACTATATTGAACCTTAATATAAAATCTTGTTTGATTTTTATTTTGGTTCTAAATATAATATCCCAATCCACTTTGTCTTTCATATTTATACATTTTTTTCTAAAATAGTCTTTCTAATAATGGTAATTCTAGCCAATATATTTGATTAAAAATGATATTTTAGGAAAGATAACACCTATTTAAGACAAATAACTAACTAAACTTACTTTCTTAATCTTTTCAAATTAGTCAATTAGCTCTTATAATTAGGATTGGAGGTAGTATAATCTTAAGAGTATGCCATATAAATTCGTGATATACTTGGTTAAGAAAGCCACTTCTTGTACTGTCTGTCTTTCACGTTTTTAAAAATATTAATATCAAGGATAATTTTTATGTTCAAAATTTTTTTTCTTATTTATTTCCTTTATTGTGTCTATCCAATATAAATTCCACGAATCTCTTTCGAATTAGGAGATGTTTCTTATTATACCGAAACCAAAATAGATGTATGCATAATTTACTACTCTTCCGGTTCTAAATGTAAGATCCTTATACAAGTATGTATAAAGGTCTTATATTTAGGACCGGAAGAGTATTATTTTTAAAAATGGATGAAACATGTATAAGTGCAATTCATTTTTAAAAGTACAAACTATCAGGTGGCACTGAATTATACAGCCACAGTCATAAGTCGATTAAGAGCAAGATACTTAAAAAAAACATAAAATTCAGGCAAAAAAAAAAAACTGAAAAAATGATATTCGAAATTTCCATGAAAAGTTTATTATGTTGTATTCACATATTCAAATTTCGTAAGAAAGATGTTACGTGTAATGCCTCAAACAGCATTGTTCCGATAGGAGGATATCGTGTGTTTTAAAAAAAAATGTATTTACAGATTTTTATCTTATTGGCCCCTTATTTAATGATTAATTAAAATTCTAAGCCACTTTTCCTTGAGTTTGGAAACTGACATCAAAATATAAATATAACTAAAATTTATGATAAGATGTTTGTTCATAACTTCTTCTGTTTTAAAAAAAAAATGTTAAATACATTTTTTATGTATAGGGTGATTTGTTATTCTTTTATGTATGTATGTAGAGTACATGCATTATTATTGGTTAGCTCATTGTAGTGTATTAGTATAAAATATTCTTCTGTAAATAAAAAGTGGTTCCAACTTGCCTATAATCTTAATCCATTAATGTATACTTCTCCAAAAAACTTTTATTAATCATGATAATAATAATAATCATCTATTACTGCTACTACTATTATTATTATTATTTTATTATTATTTTGCTCAGAGGCTGCGAACACGTGCAAGTGTGCAACAGAAGAGCTTCCCTCCTACTCTGTTTTGGTGGAATAAATTGGAAACTGCTCCTTCATTCTAAGAGATCCTTAATGTTTTGTTTTCCCCATTTTCTGGGGCTAAGTAAAAAGATGCTTAAAGTTTTCAGAGAAAAACTAACCAGCTTTGCACTGGGGAAAAAAAAAACTAATAAGCTTTTTATCTCAATACATTATTCAATAATATCTATCCTGCTTGAAAAAAATCACCAAAAAAAAAACCTAAGAAATTAAAAAATTACATACAATGACCCATTCACAAAATTATTATCTTTTTTTATTAATTATTACCAAAACCAATATTAATAATTTAATATTATAACGGGTCACTATTTACAATTTTTCTATTTTTAAGGTCTTTTTTGCGATTTTTTCTATCTATTTTTACATTTTGAAAATATTAATATAAATATTATTTTTTATCTTTAAAGTTATTTTTTAAGAATAATTAATATGTAAACTCTTATAGTTTCAACCGTTTTTAATCAAATTCCTATAATTTTTTTTCTTTTTATAATGTCCTTATAATTTCACATGTTTTTAATTAGGTCCTTATCATTTTTTTATCAGGTCGTTATTCTTTTACTTTATTGTTAATTAAGTCCTTGTAGTTTTATTTTTTACTTTATAAATAATAATATTTTATAAATAATAAATTATTATAATAATATTATATTAATAATCTTTTAAATTTTTAGTTAAACATATATATTATTTATTTTTCAATTTCTAATTTTTATAACTATAAAAGTCAAATTATAATAATAAAATTTTTTAAAATTAGAATATTATTATAAAAAATTTATAGTTAAGTAAAATTTATTATTCTGATTAATTATTAATTAATAAATGATTATATTAATTATTTGTCCAACTATACAATTACTTATTAACAAATAAAATTAATTTTAAAGAATAAAGTTAATAAATAATTTTTTGAAACTACAAAGGACCTAATTAAAAAATAAGTGAAATTATAAGGATCTGATAAAAAATAAAAAAATGGAGGGGCCTAATTAAAAATATGTAAAAGTAAAAATATATATAAAAAGAAAAATTTTATAAAGACCTGATTAAAAATCAAATAAAACTATAAAGACTAGGAGATTAATTATTCTTATTTTTTATTTACTTCTTTCTTTAATGGTGACGATCAAACAAAATGTTATATTCAAAAAACAAAAAATTATATAACTTAAGATGCCATTATCATTTAAATAAGTGGTTAAAATTACGATTTCTCAGGCATTATATTGGTAACAATCATAACTAAGAAGAGCAAAATAAACTTTTTGTGTCTCACAAAAACATTGTAAACAATAACAATAAATCATTTAATGAGTTCCTGTATAATTTATTTCTTATTTTATATCATATTTTCTTGAATATCAAATTATACACAAATATTTTTTGAAGGGAAATAAAAAAATTCTATACTTTAAAACACTTGTCGTAGGATAACTTTTTAGAAAAATTAATTGATGCCTGCGTAATTTATGTCAACTTTTAAAACGCGTTACATAAAATTTTTAAAATAAGGAAAGATTCATATAAATTAAACAGAATATAACTTCCAAGCAGGCATGAGAACATAGATAATTAATATCAATATATATTATACACACAAAAATTCATATACTTAATGAGTTATAAATAAGAATAAATAATAATCATAATGCTAGTAATATACTATCTCTGGTCCTTAATATAATATAAAATCTCAATCCACTTTATCTCTTATATTTATTTTTTTTCAAAATAATCCTTATAATAATAGTAGTGCTAACTAATATGTTTAATTAGTAAGAATATTTTAGGAACGATGACACATATTTATTATAAATAACTAATTTAATTAGTTTTTATTAATCTAGTCAAATTATTCAACTAGTTTTTATATTAAAGATAGGAGGTAGTACTCTATACTACCTCTGGTCCTTAATACTTGTTAACTAATTTGAGTAGATTAAAAACTAATTAAATTAGTTATTTGTAATAAATAGATATTGCCTTTTCTAAAATATTCTTACTAATTAAGTGTATTGGTTATAACTATCATTATTATAAAAACTATCCTAAAAAAAAAAGAGATATAAAGTGAATTAAAATCTTATATTTTTAACATAAATGAAAGTCAAAGTGAATTTACTGATTCTGATTCCGACATAACAAATAAAACTATAGATGCCGCTGAATTTCCTGAAATTGCAATCATATGTTGGCACGACCGTGTTAAAGAACCACCTCCTCCAATTACAAGTCAACACCTTGCCACCAGCCTTTGCTTTCAGCTCCAAATTTTTTTCTTCTATAGGTGAATTTATTTTCATCCTGAATATAAAATTTAAATTTATTTTACTTCTCTGCTTTATTATGTTCTCTAAATTCTTCTGATTAATTAAACATATTAAAGAGATTTTTCACTAAGACAATATTACCTTTGGTCCTTAATATAAAAACATGTTTAAATTTTATTTTAGTGCTAAATATCAGACCCCGATTCATTTTGTTTCTCATACTTATCTTTTTTTTTTTAAGATAGTCCTTGTAATAATAATAATTCTAACCAATACATTTGATTAGTAAAGATATTTTAGAAAAGACAGCACTTATTCATTATAAATAACTAACTTAATTAGTTTTTTTAATCTATTCAAATTAGCCAACTAACTCTTATATTAAGAATTAACGACCAGATATAGTATTTTTTCAATACAAATTTAAAAACAGTATTTAAAAAATAATATATAATTTTTAAAAATTAATTATCTAGTTTATTGGATTGGAGAGAATATTTCTTTTTTTTTTTGTTTACTTAGATTTAAAAACAGTATTTAAAAAAATGACATATAATTTTTTACAAATTAATTATGTAGTTTATTGGATTGGAGAGCATGTTTTTTTTTTTTGGTTTACTTTTACTAAAATAAGGGTGAAGACAATTCAAGAAATTCTCCAATATTATGAATATAATAATATTTTTGTGGAAAAAAAATTTATAGATTTTATCAAAAATGTAATGTTGTAACTATAAATAGAAGTTATGTATAATGTATTGAGCACTCTTAAATAAATAAAAATACTCTTTCTTATTGTTTCTCTCTTTTTTTTTTATAACATCCACAAATATTTTTCTTTTTTTGAGTGATCAAGAAATATTTTCAGGGGAAAGGAAACAAAGGAAAAAAAAAAAAACCCTTTTACTCGCATTTGTGGGTAATGAAGAAATTGTTACACCCTCAGTTATACTTGCATCCAACGGTTCATGAGGGATTGTTACTGATCCTTCTATGAATTTCCACCGTCCGATGAATTGTTCATTGTGGACCGTACGATGCACGAGAAAGGGCGATCTGGCCGTTCAATATTTACAAAATTGAATTTCAAAAAGCTCGGGGGAGAGAGGGAGGAAGGAGGGCGAACAACGAAAGTCCCTCTCTTCTTCTCTTGTTGCTCAGACTGTGTCTCAGCTCCTATCGTCCTTCCTTTTCCCGGCACGTTCCTCTGCAATCACCTTTCTTTTGTTTTCTCGCTCTACAATTTCTACAATCTCTTTCTCTGTCATCGCCTGTTCAGAAGTGTTTTTTTTTGGATCCAAGTCCCTAAAATTCTGGGCACTATACTCCGAACTTGGGTTTGCATCCAGGGTGTTGTGTGTAGCTGTGTTTTCTTTTGACTGGTGATTCGGAAATAGGTTTGGGATCTGAAAGTTAGTTAATTTTGAACTGATTTTTAAATTTGTGGGATTATGAAGGAATAATTGGTGGATTAAGTTGTTATCTTGGAAGGAGGAAGAATTTGAAATTCCTGGTTGATTGTTGATTGCTTATCTCATGGGAGAAGGTGAGGGGGCAGATTGCCCTCCCAAGAATGTGTCATCGGATGCTTCAGGAGCAGCGTTGCTGTCTGATGTTCCGGCAAAGAAGCTGGCGAGGCAGCTCGATTTCACGGGTTATAGTGGCGCGGCCTTGCCTGAACACCCGCAGCCTCAGTTGCAGGTGCTGGCGCAGAGTCAGCCGCAGCCACGCCCAGTTACAACGCAACCGGTTGTTGTGATGCCTATGCCACCGCAGGCTCCTCATTCTTCAGCCAGGGTTGGGTGAGTAAATGGAATTACGGCTGGCACTCGATTGTGAATTTTTCTTACGTACGTGTGTGTTGATATCTGGAGAACATCATTTCTAGTTGGTGTGATTCTGATTTGGAAAAAAAAAAAAAAGAACAGTTTTACCCTTTGGAATTTCTGGACTTGGAAGTTCACGTATCGAGTTACTGTTTTATTTTGGTTGATTTTTAATTACTAATTTCATTTCTGATTTGTTCAAGAAAATCACGGATTGTTTGGCTGCATTTTTTGTTTCTGCATGGGCCTCGAATGCATGTATAATGTTTTGGGTTACCGTTGGCAAAGTTTGCATGCACATTACCATTCTCTCTCTTTTCTTTTATCCCCAATCCCATTATTATTTTCTTCTATTGTTCAGTTGTATTATCTCTTTGATTTGAGAATTGAGAAACGATGGTGGGAGTTTAATTTCTGAAGCACGGGATAGCATTTTGTGGGAATTCTAAGACCTTTGGTTTTCTTGTTAGAAAAAAAATATTAGTTCTATAGGGCAATTTTCAATCCGTCCCCTATTTTCTATGATTGGGAAGTTGATGTGAGTTTAAATTAGTCTAGCATTTTGGTTGATTGAATTTTATTCTCTTTTAGCAAAATACTTAGTATAAACTGATTTATATCACTTTGGGTTTGGGGGCTGGTGTTGTGTTTGCCGCACAGTAAGTGTAGCTGATGGCACGAAGCTGGAGCTATGGCACCTGGTGGCATTGAAGTGCGATGTCATGTAACTTAACAAACAAAAAAGACAAGTTGTAAGCATGTGTGTATGAAAGGTTCAAATTAAAGCCCAGCTTGTAATAACTCCAACAATTATCTAATACCCAATGTATCAAGCATAAATAATTAATGCATTCTATTTCAAAATTGGTCAAATTGTAATATATCAATTTTCTTGTAAGTTCCTAACCATTACTATTCATAACTGAAAATTTATGATTTCTTCATAAGTTCATAAAACTGTCATAACCAAAACATTTCCTTTCACCTGCAACTTACTGGATAACTGTGCTCTAGGGGAAATGAACATTGGGGAAAATTGCAATGAAAAAAAGAGAGACTTGACAACCAACAAGCTGTTGTTGGAGATGGTAAGTGGTCTCATTTTCATAAGGAGGAGAATACAAGTTCAAATCCCGGGAAGTGCACTTGTTGAGAGGGCTATAATCTTAACGTTCCCAACTCAATAGAGATTAGTCTTAAGCCCAAAGTGATTTGAGGATACTTTGACTTATATAAAAAAAAAACAGAGAGAGAGACTTGACAGGAACAAAGAAGGGCTGGGGAGGGGGGGATGAAAACAAATATTGAGTCTGCAGAGAGATGTTGGGGCATGTGGATTTGTGACAGAAATGAGCTCCCTCCTAATGGGCATGCTTGCCTAGTGTACTGTGGTGCTGTGCCCTGGCATGCCGTTAATTACTATGATTAGAGTTTGTAAATATACCAAAACGATCCATCAGTCTTCTTCCATTAATAACATGGTTCGAGTTGATCTTTACTGCTTCTGTTTTCCTAGTTAAAATCAGAAAGGGATGATGTGAACCCAAAGTGGTCACTGGATGGGGGTGTGTGAGAAATATAATACAATGCCATTCATGGATCTTCTCCCAGCCACTTAATCTTTTAGGAGAATGAAAAATGTCACATTGCATGGTGAAGTGAAAATTTGCCATATCCTACAGTTTCAAAATTTGCAATGCTGGCTCTAAACTTTCCTGATATTTATTTTTATGCCATCAAACTTCGTCTAACTTTTCTATGCGAAATTTACTGTTATACAACTGATCTTCATTTTATTCTTTTGAACTTCATTTTAATTATAGTGAGGCTTATGTTGTTTTGAAAACAGCTGCATGAACTGAGGCATGCACTATAGTTCCTAAGAAAGAAATGCAGTGTAATAAATTATGAGAGTTCTGAAGTGAGCAATATCTTAGCATACCTAGAACTTATGGATATTCATAGAGTATCTACATTTCTTCTTTGGTTTGACAAGCTCAAACTTGTGGATCTGTTTGCTCATAAATGGATAGAAGTTTATGTTACTGCTGCGTCTAAATTTTTTTTTTTTTCCTAAAATTTTTTTCCAGGAAACCAGAATCTCCAAAATCAAGATCACGACCCAACTTTGATATGAAGGATGTTACTCCAAAGAAGCAAAAACAGTGTAATTGCAAACACTCAAAATGTCTAAAGTTGTAAGTTAATTCAATTTTCCTCTCTATCTCTGTCTGTATTTACATGCCACTGATGATTCATAAGGGCATGGTGTTCATGGCCCGCACATTCACAATACTGAAATGCAAAATTCATCATAACTAACCTCCCAGGATTCTGAGCATGTGGTCCTTTTTGTAACTGCATCTTAATTTTGAAATTTTCTTGATTGATGGATTCATAAATTAATTGTCTCAAGGGTCAGTGACCTGTGCCAAGCATGATAGCATATTTTACTTTCTAGTGGCTTTAGTTTAGGATCAAACACTTCTAACACTGTAAAGAAAACAAATATTCTACGAGTTCAATCAGCAATATTGTTATTCTAGTCATGAGCAAATGGAAAAAATCTGTATTGAGCCAATGTACAAAGACTGTTGTTGCTACAACTACGGGATTGGATTGAATAATGTAATTTTTTTCTCCTCATTTCTTTCAACCACCGTTTTCATCTGAAAATTACTCAATGGATCTTCAGGGAGAGATATTTTCATTATATTGATAAGATGTTCTGCTAGCATCATCAAATGTAGTGTTAAAGATGTGCAATGGTGGTGTCAAAGTGGATGTCCATGCTTTAAGCTTAATTTCATCTAAGTAATAGCAGCTCAATTCGTCAGCCATATATTCTTTCACTGGAAGAGGAGCATAAAGAATGCTCCTTATAACAATTTGATTTTGCCACTCTTGATATTACTTCTTCAGTACAGGTCATAGCATGCTCGCAGCTCCAAGTTGGCATAAGATCTTGCTCATATGAAGCTAATTTCTCTGTGTATTGAGCAGATATTGTGAATGCTTTGCATCCGGAATATATTGTGATGGGTGCAACTGTGCAAACTGCTATAACAATGTTGAAAATGAAGCTGCTAGACGAGAAGCTGTTGAAGCCACTTTGGAGCGCAATCCAAATGCATTCAGGCCAAAAATTGCAAGCAGCCCTCATGGAGCACGTGATAGCAGGGTATATTACTCTAACTCACTACACTTAATTTCTGTCATCTGTTTGTTTCATTTAGTGGATGTTGAGGACAACTTGAAATAAAGTGTTGATACCAATTGGAAAATAGTTTCGATTATTTTTTTTAATTGAGAGCATATCAAGTTTCTTTCTATAATTTATTTAGGGAGTGTTTGGACAACTCCACAATCACATAAAAAAAGTACTTTCATGTAAGCCAAGACAAAACTTCTCTCATATGCTTATCTTGTACACCGTAAAATCACTTTTTTTAAAGTGATTCTGAGGGTTGCCAAACTCCTCCTTAATAGTGCATAGCATCAGTTTATATGACATTTATACAAAGTGAGTTTCAAAATTCTGGTCCTGTCGTTTATGAAGTTCCATTTTATTTTTATTTTTTGACAACAAGTTCCATTTTATTTTAGTTGGGAAATATTGCCCATTCTGTCAATTGCACCCTTAGTAATAATGGCTTTTGATCTTTTGATTACGACTGAAAGATGAACTTCTTGGTGCTACAAATTTTAGAAATTACAAGTTCTTTTGACAATAAATAACTAGAAACTTTTTCTCTGCACAGAAGGGATAACAACTTCAAGGCTTCTTGAAGCCCCCCCCCCCCACAACATTTAGACCCCACTAAAATATGTGGAGAAATATTGAAGGAATGAAAAGCATAATTGCTCAGAGTCCAATTAAATGTGGAGAAAACTTGGAAAGAATAAAAACTTTTGGGGAGTTGCATTGTTGATGGCATAAATAGTACAGATCCTTACCGGATTGATTTACATTGATATTGATGATGTTGCTGATTTTCTACTTGCCTCCAGCCGCTTTTGTATCAGTATGTTGATTTTATTTTCAAGTAGTGATACTGTTTAATGAATGCTTTTTTTGACATTCCAAATTTTCTTATCGATGTCACTTGTGCATTTAATTATTTATCGATTTTAGTTTTGCCTTTAACTTTTGAGGAATGAAGATTAGAACGTGAGTATATGCTAAACTTTAATCAGAAGTAATTTTGATGATATTTTCTGAACCAAGTGTCTGGACAACTAATTGAGCTTGGACAGGAAGTTGCTGAGATCTGGCAAATCATTTCACATATACTTCAGATTGAGAAATATATGTTTCTGAACTCGCTAGCTTTATTCTATGAAAAGAAATTTTAAGGTGCTCAACCTTTTTTATGGTATATCTAATCTCTAAACGTCACAAATCCTTCTGTGAAATAAATATAGGAGGATGCTGGTGAAATTTTAATACTTGGAAAGCACAACAAGGGGTGCCATTGCAAAAAATCTGGATGCCTCAAGAAGTACTGTGAGTGCTTCCAAGCCAACATTCTTTGCTCTGAAAATTGTAAATGCATGGACTGCAAAAATTTTGAGGGAAGTGAAGAGAGACAAGCTTTGTTCCATGGAGATCAGAATAATAACATGGCATATATCCAGCAGGCAGCAAATGCTGCCATAACCGGAGCAATTGGATCTTCTGGTTATTCATCCCCTCCAGTGTCCAAGAAAAGAAAAGGCCAGGAACTCTTCTTTGGGCCAACAAGCAAGGACACATCTGTTGGCAGGCTTGGCCAATTTCAACAGGTAAACCTCTCTCTTAGGATTAATTGATCTGGAGTAGATTTTGACTAAGGTTGTTGGTTGATTTATGGGGCATTACCACATGTAGTGCTTGTTTGGCATACCTTTTGCAAGCCTAGAACCTAGGTTATGACCCCGAAAAGCTTGTTGGGTGTAAGATATTATGTTTGCAATTACCATTGGGCCAAATGACTTTTTCAGCCAAAACTTAAGTTAGGGCAAAAGCTACTTCTTGTGGCCTTTGGCTTTTCATTTACCAATAGTTGGGTGTAACGCATTCTAGAATTTTATTGTTTCTAATTTATATATATTTTTATTTATTAAATACATGTAATTGTATATCATATATAATAACTAAATCCTATATATGATTTTTTTTTTTAGGATTTACAAATATTTTTGTCAATAATATATTAACTCCTTTTTATTTTTATAATTATAATTCTAATATTTTTTTCTTCATGTTATCAAATTATATACAAGTTGCAGTTTGTCAAATTGGCTTTTTTAATAAAAGAGTATCCAAACATAAATCATATTACACTAACTTTACTCCATCTTCAGTTTGCAAACTGTAGTTTTTACAAATTTCAGTTATATTTATGTTAATCCAAACAAACTCAGTCAATAGTCACATAACTTTTTCTCCTCACGCATTTTTTTTAACGCTTCTGTTATTTTGTTTAGAATATGCAGTTAATAAAGTTGACTAGGTCTCACTAATCTAAGCTTGGTCGCTCTCTAAGATTTATAAGAATCATATTTGTGGACTCATCTCGGGAGAAGTTACAAACTTTCAAAAAGCTTAATTTTATGATAATGCAGATTTCTTGTTTTATGTTAAAACTTGAAAGGCTTATCTCCTTTTGGGGCCTGTTTGATATGTTGTATAGGACAAAACTGAATAAAATTTCAAGACTGTACTGTACGACGCTATTAGATAATACATTGTATGATATAATATGATCTTACATTTGTTGTTCATGCCTGACCTTGTTCGGTTCAGAATTTAGCTAGGCTGTCCCATTTTCTTTACCAAAGTTTTTGATAAAAATTATGACTGGACTCTCAAAAAAGAATCACATGTGAGTCCTTGTAAATTATTTTGTCTGGTCTTTTTTATAGGATCCATTTTATTGAATTAGTTCAATCCTTTTTATAAGATACAATTTGGAGTTGTGTAAGCATTAAATGCAATTTTTACCAATTTTATTCCTAATTAATTGCATTATCTTTTTCCCATACTTCCTCTTTCATCTTCTCTCTCACCCTCTTATAAATAAAGGTTTATTTGGAAAATAATTGTACACTTATTACATATTTATTACTTTTAATTAATTTTAAACCACACAATTTGGTTATTTGGATAAGACTCGAGGGAGTATATTTGCCTTGAAAAATAATTTCTCAAAAAATTGTAATACTAGACCAAGATGTATAGAACTAGCCAACATGGCTGACGCAACGCTTGACTCAATCTGCTTAATTTTTTTGGTTGGGTCCTGACCCAGCTTGTTTCGATGCAACTGAGAAGATCAAGCTGCTGGTTAGTGCGCAGCCTTATGGGTGAGGTTAAGAATGTAAAAGTGTTGAGAAGGCCTTATCCATCAAAACCTCATCATACTTAACTCCTCCTCCTTAGGCTTGATTAGATACCATTTCTTTGATGAGTAAGTTTAAATAATTTATTACTTTCACCGAATAAGATAAGCTCGTAATGTATTGTACTCAATCTGTTCTTTATTATAAGACAAATTTACATACTTTACACAAACCAAGAAAATTAGTTGATGTCTTTATCTTATCTTTTCACAGATGCCCTTCATTAAATGCCCTTCTCTCTCTCACACACACACACCCTCACTCTTAATTAATTGAAAGCATTCTTTTTAGGGGCATTTTAAGAAAAGACATATCAATCAATGCCTAAATTTTGCAAAATGATTTGTATAAATAAGAAAGCTAAAATCTTCTAAAAGATGTCTTATAGAAAGGACTGGAGGGATTATCAATTTATACTATGTGGTCTGATTCATTGTATTAAACGGGCCCTTAGACTCAATAATTACTTTCTTGTTTGGCCACATGTTTAACTTTCAAATTTGAAATAGGCTGGAGCAGAGGGAAGCTTTATCTGGAGTTAAGACTTTGTTTATGATGTCTTTAACTTCTCAAAAAGTTTATCAACTATATTGTTGTATCATAATGACCTTGTGCAGTTTATAGTGCATGTTCACATAAAATATATTTCATGTCTTATTCAGCAGTGTAATTAATTGTATAATTTTAAATTAATCAGGCAAACCATATCAAAAGTCCTACACCGTCCTCATCCTTGTCTCCTGTCCCTGGTGCCCGTGTTGGAGCTGCAACATTAGGGCCTTCTAAATTTACATACAGGTAAAATTATCTTCATGTGATTGAGATAAGCATGCTTAATGTGGTTACTGACTTGAATTTTTGTTGAAGATCCCTTTTAGCAGACATCATACAACCACACCACTTGAAGGAGCTTTGCTCCGTCCTGGTGCTAGTATCAGGACAAGCTGCAAAGACTCTTACAGGTATCTTAATCACTAGTCATGCTAGTTATGTTTAAATGACCAGTATGTTTTCATGCATTTTTTTGTGTGCGAATGTGTTGGCACAGATGCAATAGTATATGTGCCTGAGTATAATCTGTTGGAGACCAATAATTCTATTTATTGTTATTTGAACTTGAGGTTTCGTTTGAGCTATTACAGCAAATATTTTAGAGGATTTAAAACATAAGATTGTAACGGTGCTCTTGTGCGTGTGTTCAGAAAATTTTTAACAATTTCTAGTTTTACATCTGTTGGACAATAGCCATCTGCACCAATAAGTATTTTGTAGTATTATCTTTGCAGAGGGTATTTAATTTTGGGGGACTTGCTAGAAGCATAAAGAGAACATGCGTGTATTTCTTTTTTCTTTTTGTCAGTGCCTTGAAATAATTTATCGGGATTTACATGGAATACATATAATGTTCATTGTGCATGTACGTTAAATTTACTTAACTTTGATTGTTGATTAAATGACTCTTGTGTTGAATGTTGATACGCGAGCAAGTATGTTAACTTGAATATGTCTAGCTATCTTGTTGAGCTGGCTGCTGAACGACTGACTTCCTTCTGTTCTGGATGGGCTGTACATTAGTTGTAAAATATTAAATGTACATACTAGTTCTGTTCCTATTTATAGGAACTTCTTTAAGTGTAGTCAGCTTCCTTAACTCTTATGAATTAGTTAACTGAGACTTATAAATAGGAATGGAGGGGGTAATTTCTATTTTGCTCTAGTTCATACATTAAACCGCTGTTGTTTGTTGATTGATGGATGGATGGATAGATAGATAGATAGATGTTGTTGCCTTCTTTATCTCACAATACTATATGCCTGGGATTATTGCCGTCCTTGAGTTGAGTTCAATTCCTTGTTGAAGTTGCATTCCCACAAGATATATAAATAACAAGATATCAAGATTACTGAATGGAGATGAATGATAGCATAATGTCACAGACTCAAAATGCTAGAGCAAGGCCTATTAAGGTTTTGTTTTCTATTTTATTTTAATTAGATTGAATTTGATTCTTCTGAAGTTGTATGTTAGTATATAAAGTTTTAAAAGCTGTTATTCCTGAGGGGAAAAGTATATTTCTCTTTCAACAGCCAAGAAGGCATTTATGGACATGGTATGTATACTTCTTGAGGATTTAGGTTATAAATGAGTGATTACTGATTTCAAACACATTCAATGGACAAGTATGCTGAAATCACTAGTTTCCTCTATGATAAGAGCAGAAACGGGAATCAATTGCTTTAGACAACTGGTTTCTGAACCAAAATATGTGGTAACCTTTACCTGCTTCTGAATTTCTCAGGAGTAGATATTAATATATGTTAGGCAAATAAGTTTCTTTGGCCTGAACCTTGTACTTTTAAATTCAATGCATGCCTTTTGTTGTTACCTAGAGTTTGGTGTGACTGGCCTTTAGTTCTCTGTCTAATTCATAGTTATTGATGTCTAAAATGAGCAGACCAGAAAATGTTAATGGAAAAGAATGCAGAAGATCAGGTGGAAACTTCCGTGGCTTCTTCAACTCAAGAGCAATTGCCAAGTCGAAAGGAAGGCGATGTTGAGAAAGCTATGGCTGATGACTGTTCAAGTGCAAACCAAACAGATAAAATCAGCCCAGATAATTCTAGTTCAGATGGGGCTGATGCCCCAAAAAGCAGGCCAATGTCTCCTGGAACCTTAGCCTTGATGTGTGATGAGCAAGATACAATGTTCATGACAGCTCCATCCCCTAATGGTTCAATGGGTCATGCTTGCAATACATCTTTGCGTTCTCCTTACGGACAAGGCATGACAGAGGTTTATGCAGAGCAAGAAAGGATTGTTTTGACAAAGTTCAGAGATTTTCTTAATCGGGTCATCACAATGGGAGAATTAAATGGCAAGTAAACATTCTCTCATTCTGAAACTTTGGGCTTTGACAAATAGATCATTGACTTTCACTTGCCATTACTTTCCCTCAACTTTGAGACAACACTCGATAGCCTCTTTTTATGCAGTTTCTATCAAACAGTTCATCCTCGTTACCATCCCCTACTTGAATGTTTGGTCATGAATCTATTGAGCAGATCATATTCTAAATGAAGATGGTTCTTTCTACAGTTGGAAAAATGGGAATTCCGGATTAATAACTAATAGTCAGCTGTTTATAAAATTTTCATGCTTTGAACGGTGGACTTCATCTGACATTATCGTATGGAATGGTTCTTGATTGAATGGCTTCCGATAAATTGAATTTAAATATGTAGTCAGGGGGCTCTTAGTTAATTTGGGCGGAAAAGTACTGTTGTGCTACGACAGACTTGTATTGTCTTTTATCATTCTTGCATGACTGTGTTGTGAAAAACTGACTTAATTTTCTATTTATTGTCAATTTCAGAAACAAAATGTTCTTCATTAACCAGAAGTGAATTAGAGACTCAGAAGGAGGCAATCAACAATGGCAGTGGAAATGCTGATGCTGAAACGGCGCATCAGCAGGGAGCCACCGGTAATGGAGCTGTCAACGCTGTTGTGCCACCCATGGCCTCTAGTATGAACATGATTGCTTCAGAGGCTCCTGGTAGCCTTGTCCCTGAAAATGGGGAAAGCAAGGCTAAGAGTGAAAAGGAGATGTAAAAGGGATTCTAACACAGAATAATGTGCAATGGTACCCATTGAAGTATCCATGAAGGTATGCAACAACTTTTGCCTCATTTTATAGACACTGCCATCTTCATTTTCTGGCATGTCATTGGCGAGAGGGTTTCATACAAGCCCCCAGAGCGTTCATCTAGGATCAATAATTTTTTTCCTTTTACAGTTTCTCTTGCTCTGTTTTTTATGATTCATATAGATCTAAATTAATTTTTCAGCTCCTCATCATAGCTTGATCAGAATGTAAATTACAAAGTTGTAATTTTATATAACATTAGTTAGATTCTGCAGTCTGATGACTTTTGTAGCTTAAACTTGGGTTATTTTTGAAAAATAATAAGTTAGTTTTAACACTTTCCCTCTTATAAAGGAAAATAGTTTATCGAGCACAGTACATAAAAATATTTTCTATTTTTAATTTTTGTTTCTCCAAAGGGGTTCGGATTGGATATTGCTTTGCCTGAAAGTCCCTTAGAAGCAATTTTGTACCCCAAATAATTCAAAATTGCTGTCTTCGTCGTGGGTCATGGCTGACTCTGGCTTAAATCCTGGGTTAGTGTTTATCATTGAAGATTTTATATTTTCTAGGGAGAATGATAACTTTTCTTATTCTTATTTTATTTAATATTTTTTTTATTCTAATAAGTGCAGAATGTAAGCTGTGCTTTGAGCGTATCATAATCATTGCTCTTTTAAAAAAAAAAAAAGCTAAAATGTTATAACAAAAGAAAAATGAGTATAAAGTCCAAGGAGAATAATATAATCACCAAAAAGTCTAAATGACACTTGAGCAGTGTGAATATTATTGTCATTTTACATGCTAAAATTTGTCGTTAATTTGTCATGAGATTTTTTAGTGATTATATTATTTCTTTAGGACTATGTAGTAATTTTCTCAAAAAGAAAAAGGGGAGGAAGAAGAGAGAATTATGTACCAACGAGACATTTGAGGAAACCTTAAACAGGGAAGAAAATTTCCTTGGCAATAGGGTATATTGCCACATTGGTCTTGTATTGAGGCTGATGGTTCAGTTTTTTTTTTTTTTTGCTAAAGCATAGGTATTCTCCTATGGAAGTAATTCTATTCGAGACACTATTGGGCACTAAATGTGAGTACATCTCCCAGCGGGGATTCGAACCTTAGTTCGCCACGTTATGAGGAACTAACCCATTCTACTTGACCCAATTCCCGTTGGTTGATAGTTCAATTTTGTAGACATGAGATGATAAAAGCATGGAAAGATTAATTATTTGATTTTTATAGTTCCATTGAATTTGTAACTTAATTTTTGTACTTTGACTCATTGCCACTCATTCCTTATAATTTTATTGAGGTTGTAATTTATCTTTATTAGTGCCACATCAGATGAAGATGATTTTCATGTTATCAACTGATGTGATACTATTGAGGATGAGTTATAAAATTAATGAAATTATAAAGATTCAAATTGATTTACAAACTCAGAGAAATTATAAAGATCAAATGATTAATTTTTCCTAAGAGAATTCATCTATGAGTTTGCTTTTGAATTGGGACCTGATTTTCTGAAGTCAGTGGAGCCTAACTTTGCTAACATTTGAAATATTTATCTTGTAATTATGATTTGCAGAAGTGCAAATGCTTGTTCGGTATATGCGTCCAAAAAAACATTACAAAGAAAGAAATTGCATGAGCAAGTTTTGTTTTTGGAGTAATCAGATAACAATCCGTTTCATTTTTTAGTACTTGCATGCCAAAATTGTTAGAATACATCAGATTTGTAAATGAATAATGTCAAAGTTGCATTGCATATATCTTGCCTGGAGATTTTCATGAATGCACAAAAAGATGCATTTTTTTTTATAAAAAAAAAACTGCATGTGGAATGACTATTGACTGGAATCTCAACAAGTGCTTGTTGGGAGTTGCTTGTGATTGGTGCTTATAAGTATGTTTACCTAAATCGAGATAAAATTTTCATCATATATTTATATTGTATGTTTCACTGTTATTCTAAACAAACCCTAAATTATTTTATATAGAAGTAGGAAAAAAAACAATACAAAAATTATTCAAAAAATAAAAGTCACCCCTTGGCATCACTTGCTTCTTCTTGCTTCCCTTTCCCCTTTTTTATTACTCCTTCCTGTTCAAAATATAAGTTAAATTTTATTGAAAAGATTTGATTTTTTTTTTCATAAGATAACATTCACTTTTGTCTGAATATTTAATGAGCTTTTTTTTTTAATTTTATTCCTACATATTCTATTTCCTTTTTAACTCATTTATTTTTTATTTTACTTATTTTCTTCATTATAAAAACATATTTAGGGGAAAAATATATACATTACATATTTATTGTTTTAAATTGATTTTAACTAATTTTTTAATAAATGTAAATAAATAAAATTTGTCCTATATTTTAAACCGACAAGAGTATATGAATTGCTCATTTGGTATCGAAAGTAATGCTTAACGGAACATTAATCCCGTTTTTCTTTTGGCCATCAAATTTTGGGAAAATTAATTCTTGGTCCTTATAATTTAACCTGCTTTTTAATTAGATCCTTAGAATTTTTTTTCCTTTTAATCTACTCCTCCTAGTTTTTCTCGATTGCCCTAACAGCTTGTGGAAGCGGACTAGCGGAGACAGCAAAACGACACCGTTGCCGCGGTCCCAGCCCATCGCGGCCTGAGGCATTTCCTTTGGGAGAAAAAAGAGGGCGAAGAGGCGGCCAAAGGTCGTAGTATTGGCAGAAGCCACTCGGCTCAACAATGGCAACTTCAAAGCTCGTGTCTAGGTTGTCGTCTCGGCTACATCCTCTTGCTCTTAGACTCGCCAAACCCACTCTTTCATCCCCCCTCAACTCAGCCTCTCTACGACGCACTTCTCGCATTTCACGGTCAGATTTTTCTCCCTCGCATTTTTCTTTCAACCTGATTATTTGTCTTGGCTCGGTTTTTGTTGGGTTCCCGAGAAATAAGATATGATTTTCCCCTCATTCTCATAACCTTCAAATTATTTCTTTTAAAAAGCTTCATACTGGTTTGATATTCATGGACTGCCCCATGAAAACTTTTGCTGGGATTTTTTTTATTTGTTTTTTCTCCCCTTTCGACCAGGTTACCGGTGGAGTTGGGTTGCTTGGGATCAATGATGCCGTTGCATAACGCAGTAGCTTCGGCTCGGTTAGTATCAAGCTTGTCCACAGAATCCGGGAGTTGGGGATTAGTTCCTCAAGGTGCGTTCATTAATTTGATGGGCAATGTTGCTTGGTAGTTGCTTCATGTGAGATGAACCTTCATGGCGAAATATCATTTAGGAGATCTCTTAGCATAGAAATTCACCTCTCCGTTGCTGCATATTATCTGTTTGTGTTTTGGACCCAGAGAAATACTATAATATTATCTGTGGATTTGATTGCTGTTTTCTCTATCACAACTGAAAATGTAATAATTTGTCCCCCGGAATTGGGTACTCCCACTCCAATTTTTTTTTTTTGGTGCCTCATCTGAGTAACTTGGCTTAATGCTATGGTCCTTTATACTCAACTCTGTGTTTGGCTTATTTAATGTTCTTCGTTCGAGGGGGGAAAAAAAAATTGGGTAGTTGAGAATGAAGGAATCAAAAATTGGGAGGACTTCGAACACCTTAGAAGTCTATATACTTTGACATTCCTACTTGGATTGGTTAAATTGAGGTCTGTTTTCCAGGCAGCTTGATTGGTAGAAAGTAAGGTGGCGGTAAAGAGACGCTTAATTGTTTAATTATTTATATAATTTTCATTTGATTGTATATAGCTTCAGTTCGAAAATTAGAAGGATGGAACGTGTTATCCAAGGTTGTTACTGAATTTAATTGATAGTAGTCGCACTATGATTTTCTGGCTTTTAATAGTGTAGGAAAACTCTGTTCATTGTCTATTGATAACTTCAACTGTTCTCGGAAGTCAACTCCAAAAATATGATTATTGTGAAGAAATATTATGCACTAAGGAACTACAATAACTAATTTTTGGTGATTGCATTTGTTTCTGAAAAATTCCGCATTGCAATAAACGCTATTTTGATGTACCTTTATACACTGTGAGAATTTCAAAATCAGGCTGGCCTGCATAGTTAAATAGCTGTTGTGGTATTGGCATAATTAAATTGCGAATTGATTAATAATTGTTGCTCTATAACTAATACTTGATAAGATAATTGTGTTTAGATGCATATTTTCCTTGCGGTTCAAGAGCTTCACGGATCCTTTTCTTTCTTTCTCCAATTTACAGGTATTTCCATGCCTTTATGACAGTACCTATCTGCTGCTAATTGGTGCACCGTGGCTTTTTCCCGTTGGTGGTATGCTAGGGCTCACGTTGGCATGTTTGCCTTTTATTGTTCTCTTAAGGTCTTTGACATTGTATGCTTCATCTGACATTGTCGAGGAAAACGTGGTGCAACCGATGTTGCTTACTTGCTAGATAGGTTCATTTTATGATAATCTATTTATGGAAAGGGATTTTCCTAGCACTGGCTAACCTTTTTGTCAAAGTAATAATGTTATGCATTGCATATAAGGTTTTAATTTATTGGTACAAACTATGACATTTCTAAATCATTATCAAACTAGAGATGACATCTTCAACCACATTGTCCATTGAGGAAGACGTCACAGTGTACTGTAAAGGCTCTGTTCCCATGGCTGGAAGTTAGAATTAGCGTTTTTTTCTTTTTGAGTACAAATGGCTATGGAAAAACAGAAACCATAGAAGTGTTGGTATAGGGGTCCATAAGCATGCTGTTGATCTCCTATATCAGATAGAAAAGCTCTCTGCAAAGCAGAGAAAGTTAATTAAGTACAACAAATCACTCTCATTTGAATGAGCGTTGCACGTCAATCAATTTTTCTCATTCATTAGCTTCTCCAATTTTGTGTTGGATTGTGTGGCTTAGGATACGCTAAACTTGGCAACTCTTTCTGCATACATCTCATAGAGTTGTAATTATTCCTATCCACTTAAGGCTTGTTATATGATGAAAAGGCCCTCTCTTATCTTTGATAACTTGTACTCATCACTACTGTTCTCCCCTTTTAAATATAAATATAGGAGTTTGATAACTAATTTATGAAAATTTAAAAAATTAGTTAAGTTATTTATGTAAAAAAAAATTTATATTGGTTTTCTTAAAATACTCTCCTTCAAAAATTATCCTTATTGATTGTATACCTACAGTAATTAATAGAGGTAGTTTTGGGAAAAAATGACAAATATAAGAGATAAGATAAGTTGATGTCTTATATTTAAAATTAAAGTTTGTCCCTAATTAAATTTTTTTACATTTATGACGGGCGAATATGCTCTTTCGTGCCTATTTACATTTTCAAATTAAAACATGCGAGTATATAGTTCTCCAATAATATCATTACAAGTGTAAAATTTAATTATAAAATTATATAATTGTTTGTGAAAATTATACACTTGTTCTGATATTATTAATTTTTTTTATAATTAAAGAATTTGGTAATAATATTATACCCAACAGGAAAAAAACAAAATGGTAATAAGAACATAAACAGGAGAAGATACATTTTGTGTACTAACTACTTTTGCGTGTATGAGTGATATATGTCATTAGTGGAATGCTCCTCTTAAAAAAAAAATTTAAATTGTTAACTCTCAAAATATAATAACTTTTAACTTTACTCTTATTTAATATATTATACATCTTTAGGGAAAACAAAACAAAATCTATACTGCAATAAGTAAGGACAAAACAGTATATTTATGTTAAAAAGCTAATGAGATATTAAGAAAAAATTTTTCTCTCTCCACTTTATAAATAGGATTAAACTACTCCTCCGATCCTTAATATAGGACCCAATTCTTGAGTTGGTTTTGGTCCTAAATATAAGACTCATTTCTCACATTTATCAATATTCTCTAAATTACCCCTATAGATACTCCTTCAACCATAATCAAGTAGAAAAGAGAGAGGAGGTATTAAGAAGGATGATTATGATATTTTAGAAAAAATGTGTCACTTTTCTTATAATTAACTAACTTACCTAACTTTCTTAATCTAATTAAATTAGTTAAATGGGTCTTATATTAAGGACCGGAGGAGTATGATTTAGTGCTTGGTTATAATTAGTTCCTCGAAGGCACATTTTTCAGTTCAAAAAAGGTAATTCAGATTAGAAGAAGTAGACAGGTCCCTCTTAGCAAGAGCCTTTGCAACACGGTTTTTTTGGTTTTTTCCTGCAACATGGTTTAATTCGCTAGAAATATGTTGAGGCTTGAGATCCCAAGAGAAGCCCATTAATGTCCCCATTTCCAAAAAAAAAAAACAAGAAGAAGAAGACAGCAAGATTCCTCCATCTTATTTTTCAGCGGCATGTCCATTAAAGTGTTAGAATTCGATTCTAATTAAGGATGGTCTTAAAATTGATTTTATGTATAAGAAGCGAGTATGTAAAAAAAATTTTATTTCAATTTTCATGAAAATACTGTTTAAAAGTGTTTTTTGTTCCATCCAAACACCCGTTAAAATGACTCTCCTAAACCAATGTCCCAAACTAACTTGAGGCTTCTGGACACGGCCCATGCTTCAGTTTCAAACGGGTGCTCTCATCATGTCATCATATTTAGATCATCTAATATCTAATATAAATAGTTCAAATTTAAAATTTTTAATGTGTAATTTGTTAATGATAAATTTATTTTTTTAAAAAAGTGTTATTTAAAATATTATCTTTGCTTTGAATTCTATTCAAAATTAATTTGGATGGTTCAAATTAAAATAAACACTTCATGCTTATTATTGTGATGAGTATAGAATATGCTTCTATTGTTATGGTACAATCGTCACGTTCTTCTTAAGTAGGCATGTCTCGTGTTCATTTTAAGTATTCACATGCTATAAAGGAAGAATTGTTGTAAAGCCATAATAAAAGAACATAATTTTTAAAAGATCTCAATAACAACAACAATCCATAATGACTTTCAATGAAAAAGACAACTTCTCATTTTTTATTAAAAATTTTTTATAGTTATTTTCTTTGTACAGAAATTCATACTAATTTTTCTTATTATAAATCCTTGTACATGATGAACAGAAGCATCTCTCAAGTAGCTTTTTTTTCTTTTTTTTAGGTATAGGTATTCTTTTATTAGAGGTAATTCTGTTTAAGACATTGTCGGACACTAAATATGAGTACATTTCCTATTTTAACAAGTATTTGAATCTTGGTTCACTGCATTGTGAGAGACTAATCTCTCTTATTAGGCCCAACCTTTTTGATTCATGGCGTAGCTATGTTATGCTCACTTGTTGAAATGCCCCAGATTTACGCACGAATGCCCATATCTAATTTCAAGAGCATATTTCCTTGACGATTGACAAAGAGGAGTAGCATAGCAACAAAGAAAATTAAAAAGAAGGAAGCAGGATAATTGATGGAATTTAGTTTTGTTCGATTTGTTAATTTCTTAAACTTGTAATTTTCTTATATATTTTTATCCACTTCCTCGAGATATATTCCTTCCTTATCTTGACCCATGTCAACGGAGATGCAAGGGTAATTTAAAAATTGCAGACTCTTTTCAATTCCTCTCTCTCTCTCTCTCGTGCCCTCCAGTTCCTCCCTCTTTTTTTTTTGGGTAAAAGTAGAGGACATTTTTATCATATCAAGTTACCAGCCTGCCACGTATAAGACGATATCGACATTTTGAGAGGAAGCTCTCCTCCAACGGCCACATATGGCCTCCTTTACCTTCATGTCTCTGCAGCTGCATCAAGAGAAATTCATCCCCTTCTCTCTCCCTAGGTACCATCCCTCGCTCAAAACTTCTAACTTTCAGTTTTTTTCTCTTTCTCTCACTTCCTTTCCTTTCAAAACCAACCATAAACGAAAACTTCATCATGTGAAATCTCAAGCTTCAGCCCCAAAGTTTAGTACTTTAGAACGACGAACTTCCGTAAACACTAAAAGTATCGACAGAAAGAAAGAAATTAGACGTGGGTATTCTTCAGCGAAATCTATAGATAAAAAGGTCAGTAAAAATACAGTGAAAAATCATGTTGATTCAGTTCTGGAGGAGAAATCTGGAAAGAGGTTCTCGAGACATACCAGGGAAACCCCAGCTTATCGAGAAACGAAGGGAATGAATTCTGGGCATTCCTCTCGGTCCTCTAAGGGTAAGTCTCTGGAAGCTAGTGGTAACTATAGAATTACTGAGGAAATAGAGAAGAAAGACAATGGAAATCAGGTAGTAAAGGGGAACAAGAAGAAGTCAAAGAAGGATAACGAATCTCCAGAAGTCAAATTGCGGGTTGCTTTGGATCAGTGTTCCAAAAGAGGGGATGTAATGGAGGCATTATCTTTGTATGATAAGGCTCGAAGTAAAGGAATCAAATTGGGGCAGCACAACTATACAGTGCTGTTGTATCTTTGTTCTTCTGCAGCCGTTGGTGTTGTTCGACCAGCTAAAAGTGGAAGTGGAAGTCGAACTTCTGAAAAATTGGCTTTGCCTAAGGAAGTTGTGAGTCCCCTAGAGTTCAGGGAATTAATAGATAAAAATGAAAGGGAATTAAGTAGGAGTAATACGGATGAGAGACTAGTTGACACAGCGAAGAGTAATGAAACAATCAATAGGACAGAGTTGAACTCGAATGATAAAATGACCAAGTCCTGCAATGGATTGCTAAGACAGAATACTCATCCTAGGAAGGAAGGTGATGAGTTTTCAGCTGTTCAAGATATTGAATACAACCAAGAGGACCATGAAATTTTGGTAAGTGAAGATGTCAAGAAATATGCTCTAAAGAGGGGGTTTGAGATATATGAGAATATGCGCAATGAGGGGGTCACAATGAATGAAGCAGCCTTAACGTCCGTGGCTAGAATAGCCATGTCAATGGGTGATGGCGACATGGCTTTTGAGATGGTGAAGCAAATGAAGATGCTGGGAATTAATCCCCGGTTGCGATCTTATGATCCTGCTCTCTTCACGTTTTGCAATAATGGAGATGTGGAAAAAGCAGTTTCTGTTGAAAAACAAATGCTGGAAGATGGTGTCAATCCAGAGGAGCCCGAGTTGGAGGCACTTTTAAGAGCAAGCATTTTGGCCGGCAAGAGTGACAAGGTCTATTATGTGTTGCATAGACTAAGAACTACTGTTAGGGAAGTCTCAACCTCTACTGCAGAGGTGGTTATTAATTGGTTCAAGAGCAAGCAAGCTTCAAGGGTTGGGAAAAGGAAATGGGATAAGAGATTGATGAAAGAAACAATAGAAAATAATGGTGGAGGCTGGCATGGGCAGGGATGGTTGGGTAAGGGACAATGGGAAATTTCCCATACAACTGTTGCTACTGATGGAATGTGTAAATGCTGTGGGGAGCATTTGGCCACTATTGATCTAGATCCCGTTGAAACAGAGAAATTTGCCAACTCTGTTGCATCTATTGCTATAATGAGAGAGAAAAGGTCAAACTTTCAGAAGTTCCAAGTAAGAAACACTAACAATGCAAATGAGTTATAGTTTTATTATTAATTGAGGAAGCGGAACAAATTAATCTGTCAAATGCAGAAATGGCTTGACTATTATGGACCTTTTGAAGCAGTGGTTGATGCTGCAAATGTGGGACTTTTCAGCCAAAGGAGATTCATGCCATCCAAGGCAAGTTACTGAATGTAGGAAAATCCTGGTTTGCTTTGTGGATTCTTGTTTTCATCTCTATTGTGTTTATTAATTTTTTTCTCCTTGTATAAAACCTGTAGATAAATGTTGTTGTTAACGGAATACGTCAGAAGCTGCCTTCAAAGAGGTATCCACTTGTTATTTTGCATAATAAGCGTATTACAGGGCACAAGATGGATGAACCATTCAACAGGGAATTAATTGAGAAGTGGAAAAATGCTGATGCACTTTATGCCACACCTACCGGATCAAATGATGACTGGTAAGAAACAAAATTCGACAATTTTTATTCTCACTTCCACTTATTTATTTATTTTACTCATTATAGCTTACAAGTGCTTCGCATGCTAACCCTCCTTCAGGTACTGGTTGTATGCAGCTATAAAATTCAGGTGCTTAATTGTGACCAATGATGAAATGAGAGATCATTTATTTCAACTTTTGGGAAATGACATCTTCCCCAAGTGGAAAGAAAGACATCAAGTGAGTAAAGCTCTTAAGGGAAATATTTTTTTTTTTCTTAATCAATATGATGCTGATGTCATATATTTTTTGTGGAAAAAAAAAAAAAGGTTTAGTATTGTTTTTTATTCTACTGTGTCTAAAGCTGGGCCTAGTTTCTTTTTTTTTTGGTCTCTTTTCTCTTTTTTAATCCAAGAACGGGTACAAATATGACCATTCTAACATGGATCTATCTCTTTTCCTAACTCAAGGTACATTTTAGTTTCTCTGATACTGGTCCAGAGTTTCACATGCCCCCTCCTTGTTCTGTTGTAATTCAGGTAAGTGACCCATATAGTATTGGAAATATCTTGTGCTTTTTCTAAAAGAACAGCATTGAAAACACAAAATAATTTGATTTTTCTGTAAGCCTTTGTTGGTTTGAGTTTTAAATATTAGAGATACAGAGTAAAAGGAAAAAATAAATAAATACAAGCAAGGAAAAAGAAAATAAACAATGGAAATATAACATTGCAATAGCTGTAGCAGGAATCAGAGGAAGGCCATTGGCATATTCCGGTTAAGTCTGAGGACGATTTTAAATCAGAAAGAAGATGGCTGTGCATCACCCGTTGTAAATCAGATAAGGCTTCACAAAATTTTTCAACAATATCTGAAGGTAACTGCTGACACAGCAAACAATCACTCGAGACAGTATCTAGTTCATTTACACTGTTATTCTTCAAACTAGAGTCTTCACTCAATGACGTACTTATTATTGATTTCAGCCTTCTTTGATAATTTTTTTTTAAAGCAAAACTCTATAATTTTACTGTAAGCTGTTGAAATATTTGGTGGCCTAGACCAACAAATTGTCCATGTTATGTTTGGATTCAAGCTTGTCACCATGCATCTGACTTCACATCTGCTCATCAATCACTATGCTAACCTCTTGGGATGGATCATTGGAAGGTGTCCGCAAATGTTACAGAAACAATATCTTGAGTTGGCTTTTCCTTTTTTCGAATCGTCTCTCGTAACTTGTTTAGTAATTATATCTTATATATATATATATATATATATATATATATATTATCTAGGTTCATATTTCCTATATTTTACATTTTCTTTCTTTTCCTTTGACATGTTAATGAAAAATGGGAGAATTTGGGAAAATTTGTTCTAGGTGGAGGAAACTTTAATCTTCAGATATTTTAGTTGTGTGTGTTGTATATATGATCTTATTTTATGTATTTTCCGACTTTTCTTTAATTTTTTTAGGGCATCTTTTAAAGAGCCCCGGTGTAGTGTATGTTAAAAAGGATTTGAGATGTTAAAATTTCACACCAGTTGTCAGTTTTCTCCCCTCTTTTTGTCTCTGTTTCTGCCAATTTCTTCTTCACCCTACTTTTTCTTTGGCCTTTCTAGATCATCCAACTTCTTGAACCCACTTAATTTCTTTTTGTTATATTGAAAATAAAATCTAGTTTTCTTCTTGAGCCATTCATAATATGGTGACGGTGGCTGTATTATAAATGCTCATGTTTAGTGCAGAACTTCTTGTGTCTGCTGACTTCGTTTATGCTATCTCATCCTTCATTATCTTCCATTAAGTAGACACCTTATTCATTTATGTTTTGCATCTCTCTCTCTCTCTCTCTCTCTATATATATATATATATATATATTGATATGGATTCTCAACTTGTGAAGATGAAGAATGCGTGGGATCTTCTCCTGAAGCTGCATCTACTGCGGAGTTACAACATGAGAAGCACAAAGGAATAAAGGAGGAACATCAAAAATTGTACAAAAGTCTGAGGGATATATTTTCAGCATCAGGGTCACTGGAGTCAGATCATAGGACCTTGTTAACTGAAATTGAAGCTGCAGAGTTTCTTGGCGGCTGTACCATTGATTTTCAGATATGAATTTCATTATTTATATTCAGTTCCATGAATGATACCCTATTAATTTTGACTCCTAGGTATAATGTAAAGCTCCAATATAAGTTGTATGTATAGCTTAAGGATGAGTATAATAATGGTAGTTAAGAAGGGGATAAAATAGTTCTAGCACAATTTTTTGAAATAATCTCACAATGGTTTTGGATAACTGCTTTGTCAATTGGTCCTCAATTTACTGTGCTGATAAAGGTAAATTCTTGGAAATTACCTGGCGGGTTTGTAAGGTCAAACAAATTGGGTCTTGTATGTTGCATTATAGTTATACTACCTTCGGTTTTTAATATAAAAGTTAGTTCACTAATTTGAGTGGATTAAGAAAACTAATAAAATTAGTTATTTGTAATAAATAGGTATTGTCTTTATTAAAATATCTTTGTTAATCAAGTATATTAGTTAGAACTATCATTATTATAAAGACTATATTGAAAGAAATAGATAAATATGAGAGATAAAATGGATTGGGGTCTTATATTTAGAACTAAAATAAAAATCAAATTCTTATATTAAGGACCGGAGGTATTATCTCATATTTATGTTTGTATTTACATTATTCCTACTATTTAGGTCCATTATATTCAATTGTTTTTCAATTGGGGGACTTCAAATCCAAGGGGCGAATCGTTTTTTTCCTTGCCAGGGGATGACTTGAGCCAAAAAAAAAAATTTTTAAATTACAAATTGGTAAATTGGTAAACTTTTCATAAAGATGTATAAAGACTGTATAGATGAGTATTAATATATTAATAAAATAATAACAATTAAGTCTTGTATAATTAGATAGGGTTAGCTGCCTCTTCATCAATGACAAAATCCTTAAACTTACTGTTAACTAACAAATCATCAACAGATCTCTTCGAAGTCTTTAGATCAACTTGATGAATTGAATTCTTGTTCCTTCACAAAAGTTGTTGCCAAAAAAAAAAAGGGGCTGTCCAGAAAATCAAGTTTTGCCATATATGCATTTTGTATGAAGCTCCAAAAATTGAAGAAATGAGGGAAAGGAAAAAGCCAGACTTACATTCCTTGGCCTTTTATATGGCTTTGTTCAGATCTGCTTTGAATTGGATCTCAATTTTTCCTTCCTTTTAGGCCCTTTTGTGTTTGTGATAGCCCTCTTTTTACCTTCTCCTTCACAAACTTATGCTCCTATTTTCCAATGGGGAGAATCGCAAGTTAGACGGCAAATTGAATTTAGTTCTAAATATGAAATTTTAATTCATTTTATTTTTTAAATTTATAATTTTTTTTTGTATAACTCATAATACTCTCAAATTATTTTAAATTTGAGACTGATCTCTATTAGGCTAGGAGTATTAAAATGAAAACTCTCTTAACAAGTGTGCCTTCTAGAATTCAAATTTATAAAATTGTTATCAAACTATCTAAATTGATTATACATATTGAAAAAGTATTCATTAAATGATATCTCTAATACAAATGATTAAAAAAGATATTTTAAAGAAATCAACGTATATTTCTTACAACAAAACTAATTTAACTAATTTTTTTGAATTTCTTCAATAAGTCATCAAGATTGAAAGAGTTGATTGAAATGCAATATTTCTTTCCAAAATATTATATTTCAGAAAGAAATATTGCATTTCAATTTCAAAAAAACCGAAACATCAAAGAATTTTAATTAAAAAAAGCCAATTCCAAAACAAAATTAATCTAACTCTTATATTTAAAATTAAAAGGAATGTTTGATTTTAATTTTTTTTTTAAAAAAAGGGAGTCTTTTTATTTCTTGCATGTATTTTGTTTTACCACAAAAAAAGCAAGATCTTGTCCAACCAAGGCACAACCAAAAGGTTGACTTATTTTTGTGAGTACTGAGAGGTGTTTGGTGCAATTTAGAAACCCTTTTAAAAAATACTTTTACATAAATCAAGATAAATTTTTTTTCACATACTACCTCCGGTCCTAATTATAAGACCCAGTTGACTTATTTGAGGAGATTAATGAAGTAAGTTAAGTTAGTTATTTGTAATAAATAAGTGTTGTCATTCCTAAAATATCCTTGCTAATTAAGTGTATTGGCTAAAACTATCATTATTAGAGGGACTATTTTGGAAAAAAAATATAAATATGAGAGACAAAATGGATTGGGGTCTTATAATTAGGACCAAATAAAAAGTCAAACGGAGTCTTATATTAAGGACCAGAGGTAATATTTATTTTATATATCATAAAATTACTTTTAAAATTATGATTTGGTATCTAAACACCCCTAAATGAAAAACATATCAAAGATCATCACTTTAGGTTTGAGAGCTTCTTAAGATTAGCATTTCTCAGTACTCAACGTGTACATTGACATTCCTAATCTGAGTCGTGTATATATATATTTAAATTAAAAGGAGACTATTTTATGCTAAAAGATATTTAAATTATTTTATACTATATAAATAATATAATACGTATAATTTAGACAAATAAATATTATCGTCATTGACATTTTGTTGCATCAAACTGATAAAAACATCTTTTTTATTTAAGAAAATGCATATTAATAGTAATCATCACCGACACCGTGCTTCGATCTGTGCATGTGAAGCGCCCTTTTAGGAGAAGGGAGCTTTATATATATATTCTCACCTATAATGTACGTTAAGAAAGTTTAGGACCATACTTACATATATTTATTATATTAAGTTTTCTACTTATGCTGACTATACATATCTTCTATTTTTAAAATATTATCATTTTTATTAATAAAAAATTATTTCAACAAATTTATTTCATATAATCATCTGTAATTAAAAAAATTATTAGTTAGAGCAATTTAGTTAATCAGTTATGAAATTCTGTAATTAATGAAAAATACTAGGTAAAATAAATTAATGATTCAAACAAAATATCTTATGTTATGAAACATTCAAAAATCTTTATAAAAAGCACATGGGGAAGCAGTATATAATAAATTTTCAGTAGAAATGTAGTTTTTTATTTTGTTTTTTTTTATTCTCTAGTTTTATACAAAATTTCAATTTGATTTTTTTAATTTCATAAAATATATTTTTAGTTGTTTAAGTCCAAAATTGTTAGCGAAAAATAATTATTAATTAGTTTTGAAACTTAATCTATCTGTCTTTTTCTTGGGTTACAAAATCTATCCAAACTCTTGTCAATATTTGAGGTTTCAATGTCAATAGTGTTTGTCAAGGCTGAAGAGGCAGTTTATAAAGTGAAGCATCCAAAATCAAACTTTATGTAACTTCTACCTTTCTTATCACAAATGAAGCTGTGCATGTGCCGTTTAATTCTCGACCCATGAGCTCTCCAGGCCATTGTCGTCCCCATTTCCCATTCAAAAAGCATTTAATCTTGAGGAATGAAATTATTTGTTTTGTATTTATCAGACCATGCTTCAGAATTTGCAGCAATAACCTTGTCTTTATTACAAGATTCCCAGCTGATAATCTCACTGCAGTGTCCCAAATGACCATTGTTTAGCTGTTTCCCGTCTTTTTGAAAGACTGAAAGCTCAGGAAATAGAAGAACAGAATATCACGGGACTGAAACTTGTTATGTCACTTTCTGTCTGCTGATACTGAATCTCAGATTGTTCATAGTTTTGTTTCTCACCGTTTCACAGAAAACCTCCCATAGCTCGCAAAACCCATCTTCTTCCGTCTGTGTCCAGAAGGGAATTTTATGGCCCAGAAGAACTTGAATATGGAACCCATATCTTCTGCATTGCCCTGTGCAAACCCAGAAGCTGAGGTAGAAGAAGAAAACTTGCGTTTTGCCAAGTCCCTTCAGGTTCGTATCTTACATGCATTGCTATAGAGTACGGGGTTCGATTTTATTCTGTTCATTTTTAAATGTTTTTTGCCTTTTTCTTTTGGTTCATGGTGGTTGCAGGAACTTCGAGGACTTCAGTCTCAGCTTCGTGATGCTGCATATTACTGTGAAACGACATTCTTAGAGAGCAAAGTGAAAAGAGAGTAAGTCATTTCGCACCCCTCCTCCATAGCCATATAACTTGCTGTTTTGAAGTTATCATGTGATGCATTCATTGTCTCCTTCATTTTATTGCCCTTTTTTCCGTTGATAAATGTACTTTCTTTCTTTATTTTAAAATCATATATTTCAACTGTTTGGTTCCAAATATTTCAGCTAGAGACGATTTCTCTGAATGCACAGGATGTAAGTGAAAATACTGTTGAAGAAAACAGCAATGATATAATGCAGGGGAAATGTTTAAAGAATTATAATGTGGAATGCAAAAACAATGAGTTTATTACTATTTCAAAATCGATTTATAGTAATTAAGTTTCGACTAGTATATTATATGTATATGTTCTCCAATCTTGGCCAATTTACACCTGAGTTTCACTCCTTAGTGTGTATATTAAAAAATATAGAGAAGGAACGAGACTTCATATTCTTAAGCAAGGCCTTGGGTTTATGTCTTATGGACGAAAAAAATTACGTTGGGAAAGTCACCCTTATGTGGATCAAGAATGGTCAAATTTAAATCAGTCAATACCAAATAACAGACAGTTGTTGGGTAGAAAAAGTAAATTTAGAGCCATGTAACTTCACATAATGCACAAGGGCGTGTTAAAATTAAACAATTAGCATCTTAAATTTTCTGCTGTTCTTTATGTTGTTCCATTTTCAAACTAAACCCAACTCTGAAAGCTCTAGGAAGGGCAGAAATGGAAGCTATTCTAGCAGCACAAAACATAAAGTTACTCATTTGTACACTTGAAGTGTTGTGACTTTGACTCTCACATTGAGCCTAACCAGAACATGCTGAGCGGTTGATATTCTTTCTTGATTCTTTTTTCTTGTTTTGGAAGCTTTGTTTGGCTTCTGGATGTTGTGACAGACTAGGATTTCTACATTTTGCAGAGTGCTGGAGAACACAAAAGAATACCTATGCGGGGCCATGGTAACTGTCGTTGATCATCTTGGGAATGTCTCAGCCAATCTTGATTCCCTTATTTCTCAAACAAGTGCATTTTCTGAGGCTGAATTACGCATCAGCTGCCTCAAACAAGTGAGTAGATATATAGTATGTTTATCAAATAGAGTTGGCCAGCATAATAAGCAAAGACGTAGCCTTTGCTGCAAAAACATTAAAATGAAGTGAGAAGAGTTATTAGTTGCTGAAGTTGGTGTCTTTTGACAGAGACTGCTTTCATGTGAAGAATATGCTAATAGCCTTGCCCTCTCCAAAATGCAGTGGAGTGACAATTTGCCAAGATTCCATTCACGTTACTTATCACCTTGTAAGTATTCCCTGATAGTCCTTTATACTTTTCAGAGGCAGTAAATTTTTCTATGCTGTTGTTATTTTCGTGCACTTATCTAATTCTTTTTTATTTTCCTTTTTCTACTTCCATTCTTTGATCAGCATCAACCTGTGAGGGGTCACGCGGTGAAAAATTGAGGTACTTCTTTCATTACTTAATGCCCTGAAGAATCCGATAGTTAAATGATGTTAGGCCATATGTTAAGAGGTTGCTATAATTCCTAGGCATTTCTCATTCTTTCTTCTCTTTTAAATCTTACTCAGGGATTCTGGAAGTGAAGTTCCTTCAAAAATTAAAGATATGCTTTTGCTTGAGGAGGAGGATTTGCCACTTTTTATGTACACACAGAAGCCAAATCCAAACTTTAAGTTAACCACTGCTACGGCTAAGGGGCACGCCAACTTGGCCTTAGGTAAGATATTGGTTTCATGCCAAACTTACCGCTATCAAACATGATGAGATCTTTCGAAAGTTTACTCAGAGTGTCATGTGTTTATTGAAAAAACTATTAGCGAAATCCTAAAAAATTTACTTTAAATTAGTCATAAGTTTCTTCTGCTTTCTGGATTTGACAATACTTGATCTGCAGATGTGGTACCTGTTCAGGATGTACTGTCGGTTTTCACAAAAATCCCAAATCAAACATTTCATTTCCAAGTGAGTTTGGCTCATGAAATCTACCTTATTTGAACTGGCTTTGCTCTGTGGCTCTTAATTTCTAATGTCCAATGACTTTACATGTAGGTGACCGAGAAGGCTGGACGCCATAGAAAATCATTGCGTAATAGTGACAAGTTATGGCTCATACGGCCAAGAAAGCACTCACAGTAATTGAACCGGAGAACCTGTTTCTTCATTTTCCAGTCCTCTGTGTTTTTTTATGGTGATATTTATCTTTGGTCACGTGCTTTTAGAGGTTTTTACCTCTGTAATTATGATAGGGAAGACCTTCCTGATACAGAGGGACTTGGATTTAGCATATCAGACTGTTAATATTCGTTGAACTTGAAGATTTTCTTAAGGAATAATCAGGTTCCAAATGCCTAGAAAACTATATAGATTTATTATTGAACAAAATGACAATAAAAGTATAAAGAATATACAAACAGCCAGCACTGACACAATCTATTGGATTCTAAGGAGCAGAGGAAAGAAGACTACTACACAAAAAATATGGGGCCGAGCCTGAATATTTACACCTGCACAGTGAATGTTTTCTTCCTGGTTTCCTTTTTTGCTGTGAGTTCCTCTCCTTTTCTCCTTCCTCTTCGGCATTGGATCTTCTCAATTTCACTCGTACATGGACAGCAAGAATGATGGATTCATTGGAAGTGTAATTCACCCCATAATGTGTGGGTTGGATATACCGAAATCATCTTTTTCAGAAAATTATGTTGTAAATTCAGAAGAGAAATTGAGAATATCCAATTTTTTCAATCCGGTCATTCATATCGATGGCGAGGTATGGGACTTTTGATGGCATACAAATGCTCAATTTTGTCCCAGTAGGATTTCTTGGGGTACTTGGGAGTTTTATTTGAACTCTTTTCCTCGTTTTCTTTATAGTTTTCTTCATCCAAGTCTCCAGAGTTATGCATATCATCCCTTCCATTAGAAGAAGGCCAATTCATGAAATCTGAGAGAGTCATGGAGGATGACGTATCTGATGAAGAATTAAACTTCTCTGCATCTTCCTCAGGGCTTCGGCCCATGTCATCATCCACTGAAAGCCTCCTGTTATGTCCTGCCATTGATGGATTTAGGGCCATGGAATCAGCATATAAAACATCCTCAATCCTTGATGACACTGTATAGGCCAAGCTTTCTATCACTCTTGAATAGCTTTCTAGAATGGACTGTCCTACATCCTGTGCGAATTTTTACAACAAGAAGTCCAATCAACAAAATGAAAAACCTTATTGGATGAGAAGGTGAAAAAACAACGATAAGTTGCAAGTAATGGTGTATTTTTACCTTATTGTACTGGATCTTGCTTATTTCAAGTGAGGATTGTGGAAGTCCTGGGAACTTCTGTTTAATTAACAACAATATGGTCTCTGCTCTATCCTCAAAGAGCTCCCTCTTCTCATGGCTGACAGCTGAACCCCAGGAAGATTTGCTGTCCTTGTTGGTCATCTTTCTTCTCCATATCACTATAGAAGCTTCAATTCTATTCTTGAGGTCAAGAACCCTGTGCTCAGAGGACAAGTCCATAGTTGAGAGGAACTGTCCAGCATCAAAGTAATCCTCTGTTATATATTTATAGATTGAATCACCAAGGCTTTCTCTACCGTTCTGCCAAATATACCAAGGCAAAAATTAATCCATATATTTCATGAAACAGACTGACTCCTTGTTAACTCTTGATAAATTTTCATCAAGATATGTATTTACTTTAGGAAGAGATTCAATGTAGTTTTCAGGAATCTCCATCTCAGATAGTACTTGAGCATTAATAGCCATGGCTGCTTTGAGTACTTGGGTGACAGAGTCCTTTTGGATATACAGCCATTTTCTTCCTGCATCTGATAATCCATCTGGGGGAACTTTAACAGTCGGTAGCCACCATTTGTCACTCTTTTTACCTTCAGGATCATCATCACACTTTTTAACATACCAGAATTCAGTCTGATCTTTGAAATTATCTAACGTGTCCTGTTCCATCGTAATCCAGTTTGTTAGTGGGAGTGTGAAATTGACAGACTTAGAAGTTACCTGTAAATTTTAGAGAGAGAGAGAGAGAGAGAGGAGAGAGTCTACAGAATCTATACACATTATAGGATCCACCACTGATAGAATTAATACTGATGCACGTTCCAAGATCATATACCAGACTAATTCAAATGGATTAGGAGGACAGAAAAAAGGTAAAATTTAGCTACTTACAATAAGCATTGCATCAAGCTTGCGTAAGGCAGGTATGTTCATGAGCAGATCAATTCGTTGCCGGGTAGTCATGATCTATAAAGTCAAATACTGAAATTATTATGTATGTCTGACCAAACTGAAACCGAAATATAACATTTTTTGGCTCGAAGAGATGAGAGAATGAAGGTCCAGATGATCACCTCCATGCACGTCCCATCCTTTCCTATCTGTTTTGAAGGAACAAACTCAACAATGTGATCAGTCACAGATAAAATCCAGTCAGCTTCTCTTCTCCACCTTGCTTTGTTTTCTGCAGACATTGGCCCCAGTTTCGATTGTTCTCCAAAAACAGATGCTGCATGTGCAATGTTTCACAGCCAAGCAAAATGTTGCACCAAATATTCAGTAAGGCTTCATTTATTTTTATAATGAAACACTTTGGAACCATTTTTCCTCTTGCAAGTACGCATACCAGCTAGATTCGTTATTGCATTGGACAAAGCCAAAGCAGAAGAAACTCCCTTTCCAGCACCTGACATATCTTCTCCCAGAAGCAGCTTAGCAAATCTTTCCTTTATCATCTCCACTTCTGTAAGTACAAACACGATAGAACATCACGTGAAGAAAAAACATTTACACTATTCTAAAAGTTTTGATTATCATCTTGTGTAACACCTAAACAATTTCAAGGAATAGAACTCCACAATGTCGAGTTGAGATGTTTAGATACGAACCAGTTTGTGGCTTGGAAGGTTTAGGGCCAACTGCTTCCCCATGAGTAGGTGAAGGTGAAACATTATGCCGTTGATGAATCGCAGATTCTACTTGACGATTTCCCAATGAGGATTCACTCTCATTGCCATTAGAGCTGTTTGGCATTTCATTATCAGATTCTGCTTCACCCCTATAATCCTCCTCCTCCTCCTCCTCGTCGCTATCGTGACGAGAACCATCAGAGATTAAATGGTGGATTCGTTTCCCAATCCGCCTGAAATGAAAAGACCTTGCCTTCTGCATTCTGGGTTTACGAGGAACAAGCAAGAATCATCATTCACAGAGCTGCATCTTTTTCCTGCAATGATTAAAACCTCGTTTGGACAAAGAATGTGATGTTAAGTAATGGGTACGTAGAAATAGAATGCCCAGTGTTTGAAATTTGAAGCAATGTCCGTGACTATAGCATGAAATTTTTCTTCCGGCTATTTCTCTGCCATTCATCTTTTGTGTTCTTGAGTGGTTGTTCTTTGATACACTCTAAAGAAGAGAAAATGCAAATAATGGAAATGATTTGAGTGATTAATGTGGGATGGAGTTAGATTGTTGGCGGAGATCCACAAGAGAAAGTGAACTATTATTAGAATAGATGACGTGAAGCTTAGGTAATTAGAATGCCATTCATCTTGTTTTCACTAAGCCACGTTAAGATTTGATTTCACTATTTGGAAAATTCAAAGAAGAAAAACTCGTTAATATAATATACATACAAAGGAAGTTACATTACGGATAAATTTATAAATAAATATATTGCTCTTATCTTATTCATAAGTCACTTCCAAGATGTAAAAAAAAACTTTAAACTTTATTAACTCTCATTTAAAATTTAACAACTTTTCAACTTTATTCTTATTTAATATACATTATACCCCATAAAAATAAAACCAACACAATAATAAATAAATGATAAAATTATATGCTCATATAAAAAATTTCTCTTTACTCTATAAATAGGACCAAAAACCTTTTTTTACTCTGCGTTATAAATAGAACTAGAAAAATATATATTTTGACTCACATATAACTGGAGACCTTGTAACCCCATGACATCAAACGTATCTCTTTAATCTTTCTCAAGCATGAATTGTCAATAGGAACCTCTCCCATAATAATTAATAGGTGCATAGGTAATAGGTTATGGTTATACTACCTTCGATTCTATTTATAAAATATTGTTTATAGTTGATAAACAATGTCTATAATCATTTAGTCATAGGAAAAAGAGATTTGGGGTTTTTATAGATTTAAATTTTTTTTTTTTTACTTTCGTGATTTAGTTCCTATTATTAGGTTATCGTAATTATGTTATCATTCTTTAAACATTACTTAATATCCTACTACTTTTGAAGTCGTAATCCTAAATCTTTGGCTAAAAAAAAATTCCTAAATCTAAGTCATTTTTTCAGTTCTAAGATTCAAAATACTACCTTCGGTCCTGTTTATAAGAGCTAGTTGACTAATTTGAAGAGATTAATGAAAAAAGTTAATTTAGTTATTTGTAATAAATAAGTATTGTTTTTTCTAAAATATTCTTACTAATCAAGTGTATTATCTAGAACTATTATTGTTAGAAGGACTATCTTAGAAAAAAAAATGTATAAATAAGAGAGATAAAGTAGATTGGGGTCTTATATTTAGGACCAAAATAAAATTCAAACAAGATCCTATATTAAGGACCATAAGTCGTCTCTAATCAATACTTTTATTTTAGACAAATATGAAATGCCGATCGTTATCACTAAATGCTTATTTTGGGAATAATAAGTAAAGAAAGAGAAACATTGATTAGTGTAGAGTATATAATTGCAATTTATACTACCTCTAGTTTTTAATATAGAATCTAATTTGTGGGGTACAATTTGCAGTATAAATTAGATTTTATATTAGCAACCAAGGATAATACTTGGCATTGAAGGTAGTATACTGAACACCGAAATTTGGGGGGGTTTTTTTTGTTTTAAAAAATTGGGCCGAAGTAGCCCACTTTCTTCCCCCCCCCCCCCCCCAAAAAAAAACCAGAAGGTAGCCCGCTTACTTAGATATGGAAAGGAAAACCCCTCATCATAAAATACCCTCTCAAAGCTCAATTCAAACATAGTAGTACCTCCAATTCTTATTAGATAAGAACTATTTAATTATTAATTTGGATAGATAAAAAAATTAAAAAGCTTAATTAATTATGATAAATGTAATATGATTTTTCTAAAATATCCATGTGTGGTCATCATATCATATGTCAATTTGAAATTTAGATAACCATTAAGAAACAACTCATTAATGTTTTTGCTTGGGTATTTATGA